ATAAATAACAGGTTAACTATTAACCTTTATTTAATGCAGGTTTTGAACCGTATTCTTTGAAGGAGACGATTATATTCAAATCAATCTGTATTGACATATCAATAAAAAAATTTGTCCAAATGCACAGATTGCCACCTTTGATAATAGACGACTCATCTATCTCTTAGGTTTATGGCGAAGAAAACATATACATAGACAACAGTGACAGTAGGTGTCTTAAAAAAAAAGTGAAAAAATGTCTGTGGGTTCGTGAAGTAAAACAAAATAACACTGTAATTTCGATCTAAAAAAAATATCCAAAACGCTCCGCGTAATTAATTCTAATTTATAAAAGTGTGTTAATTATTTTGTAACTGCCTGCACTCTGCGGTTAGGTAGAGACAAATAAAACTACCGGTAATATAAACAATTTACAAATGTTCCGTATTAAACATTATATTATTCCACGACGCTGTCCGCTCATCGTGGGAGACGTTCGCGAACATAATTACGTATTCATATGAAAACTTACATTTACAATTTAAAAACTTTTATGTTAATACAAAAATAAATCGTAAAAACTAGTTTTTGTACATTTTCCAGAAAAATACAACGAATATTTGTTTTGAATTATTTACAGCCTCGTCGAAACAAATTTCTTAATTTAATTAAAAATCACTTTCAATTATTTGGCACCAAAACAACTTTTGTTAAAACTTAAAATAAAAATAAAAATGGATATTTAACTATTAGTGAATTTAAGAAAATAGTTTACAGATTGTTTTAAAGATTCTGGCTAATTTTCATTTTCTGTTCAGAGGAATACTTATCGAACTGAGCTTATAGTCGACTTTGAATACGGACATGACGAAGCAAATTTTTAGATACAATGAATTTTTAATTTACATTATCTATCTTTCCATTCATACATAATTCATTTAAATGCCAAAAATACAGGATTTATCCGTCTTTCGACGTTAATACTTATTATGTAAATATATTTATAAAAATATTTCACGAAAACCCGATCAACATAACTTTAGCGATAGCTGCATTAACTGATATCTCTTTTGTCTCATAAAATCAGAGTACAAAATTAAAAACCGATTAAAAAAACGAGTTAAAAGCATTTTCATTTCATTCTAGACATAGCACACTATACTGAAACATGACATCAATGTATAATATCCGCCATACATAAATATACTATATAGAAAAAGACGTTTTAATTTTAAAGAATTCCTCTGATATCATTTGCTACTTCCAAGTTGTATCCGCCAATGTAGAATATTTCGTTCGGTTTTCGCAAGCTACAGACATAACAAAAAATACTGTTAAGGTTTAAATATCAGCTTTTTTATCGTTATTTTATCGAAAAGTCAAATGCTATTTAGTATAGGCGTCATTTTTGCAATCTTGCACGAGAGTTATTTAAAGTTTAAAATTTGGAAAAAATTATAATACTAATTGTATAATGCGAATCAGTGAAAGTCAAATAGTGAACGCTATTGTTTGTTGTTGCTGTGTAAGAAGTTAAAACTGAGGCAACGCACTCATAAAACTCGTCCGTCGTTATAATATATCATAACAAAAAATCTTCCTCAGTTATTTGAATGCGGTAAACATAATTGAAGTTCAATTAAAAACATCGTATTGTTGATGCTAATACCAAATAAAACGCATCTTTATTTATAAAGATAACTGTCGTGTGTTAAGCGAAATGTCGCTTAAATCGAATAGCCTTTCACCCCTCGATATTGTTTCCGACGTCGAATATTGCATTATTTTTTTATAAGTGATTTTATGACCTGGTAACTACGACCTTTAGGTCATGTCTTATTTTAATTTATATTCTTATTTTTATGAAAAGTGAAGCGGCTTTTTTTCATTTTCCCACATTATATTAAACAGTTAATAATACACCGATATTACATATTTAAACCTGAAGAAACACTAAATAGACAAAATAAAACAAATCACACAACTTCAATCCTCGCGTTCTCGCCAAATAGTCCATATTTGCATTACAATTTTCGTGGTCACAAACGATTAAACTGTCACATTATGCTAACTACCCTCTATTTTTGTCTATGAAACCATTTCTAGACTTTTACGTTTTATTCAAATTCGAACACAATATAATGTATAAACAATAAAAAAAAGCGAAATTAAACCGTAAAAGCNAATCACACAACTTCAATCCTCGCGTTCTCGCCAAATAGTCCATATTTGCATTACAATTTTCGTGGTCACAAACGATTAAACTGTCACATTATGCTAACTACCCTCTATTTTTGTCTATGAAACCATTTCTAGACTTTTACGTTTTATTCAAATTCGAACACAATATAATGTATAAACAATAAAAAAAAGCGAAATTAAACCGTAAAAGCCATTTTTATTTATGATACTTCCTCTGATTCAGAATTAAAATTGTTTTGTGCTAATCTTTGTTTCCAATCTTTATAGACGCAAACTTCTTTGAGCACTGTTCAATTCGCTTTAAGGTTCATTTTGGACTGTCTTTTTTTACAATACAGTCTAGGTCCTGTTTCAATTCATTAATTTATAATATAATATATTATTCAGCTATCACGATAACAATAAGCGAGATAAACATATAGAGTAAAAACCTTAGTTGGTATACTATGCCAGTTGAACATATTGTTTTAATATATTCGAAGAAGACTTTTAACCATCTACCTACAATATCATATCTGATTAAATTATATAATGCATATTAAATTGATAAACAATGTGGATAAACTTTAAAAGATTAATAATAAAAAAAAACGAAAACAACCAATAAATCTATGTTTATACTAAAATTTCATGTCCTCAAAAAAAATATTGTATTTTAAAACATCATATCGACGCTTGAAAGACAAAAGTGACTAAGCGACAATAACTGCTTTGTACATAAATGATAGGCAATAACCATATTCGATGCGCAAAAAAAATATATTTCTAGGTCTATTAAAATAATTTCAATCCTACAGATACTAGCTAGATTCTACTACAGCTAGGTTCGTTAAAATAAATTTTGTTTTCAGGTATTTCAACTTTAAATTAGTCTACTGTAAAGTTCACGAATTGTCGCTTAGTCACGTTTGCTTTTCAAGCGTCGATATATAAAATATAAAAAAGAACTCATTATAGCTGAATGTATTACGATTTAATAAAATCAAACATTAACTTAGTTCTACACATGCACTCAGTAAGTACTTCGATAATGTTAAAATCACTTGGGACCTACTTACAGACAACCGCAGTGTAATATTACACATAAATGCGTTTAATTATTGCTTTGTCATTTTAGAATACAAATTTATTTCTAGAATTTTTGTTTCACGCGAAGTGGTTACCGCGGCCCATGGGCATCGCAGCGTGGATGTCGTAGCCCACCTTGAAACGTACGGCCGAAGTCTCAGCTGTACACATAACGGTTGTCAGACTCTCCATCGGAACGTATGGGGCGCTTATAGTAGATATAGGGAGCGATCCTCTGTGAACCTATATTACGTCCATTAATAAAGTTACTTTGCAGATGAATTTTTTATTACACTTTTTTTTTCAAACAGTTTGCCTACGTTTGCCGCTAGGGGCGCTGTTCCAACTGCATACAAATTTGAGTTAACTTTTACGATATCGAGAACGTTAAAAACTCGCACTAAGCACACATGCGCCTTATCCTCTAGGCCACGACGACTTCACACATCACGTCCGTATCTCGTGTTAGTCGATAAACATATTCAAAATAAATTCACGTGTATCTGAGTCGACTATTATCAAAGCCGGCAATCTAACTTTTGGACAATGATTGGTAAATCAGAAAAACGAATTATTGACTTTGTATTCCATTGGCAGTCACAAAACTCTTCGGAACGACATCTTAGATAAATAACAGGTTAACCATTAACCTTTATTTAATGCAGGTTTTGAACCGTATTCTTTGAAGGAGACGATTATATTCAAATAAATCTGTATTGACATATCAATAAAAAAAATTTGTCCAAATGCACAGATTGCCACCTTTGATAATAGACGACTCATCTACTAAGGTCATAACTTTAACATCGGCTTCGATGAACAAACGTGCATTATGTTAATTTGTTCACAGTTAAATGGATGGATTGAATTTCAACTGAGAGATTCAGTTAAATCACTTATAACATTCCACCAACCATTACATTACGTATTGTCGATAACAAGACGGATGTTATTGGATGCTTTTGTATCGTCTCTGTTTATGATATTTTAATAGCAACATAATTAGAATTACGTACTCTTTTTCGTTTTTTTTATATTTAGAAAAATCAATATGCAATATTGTTTATTGCAAACGTACATAATTATCATAGACGTATAAGCCAAAAACACAGCAATTTTTCTACCATTTAACTACGTATTTCATAATGTCGGTCATATCTGTCAGTAATCGCTTACCGGTCTAGAAAACTTCTCTTAGGTTCGCATTATCCAGAAAATAGTTTAGGTAATTTTCAATAGAGACGATGGCAATTTATCAATTTATTCTTATTATATTTAGAGATCAATCAAACTTTTGCATGCGTATTATAAACTCATTCGATGACGTCATCGTTAGTAAATCCATTCGTTCATTACAACAGGGTTCAGTGTATCGATCCCTAGGTGTGGAGCTGCATTATGAGGAAGGGACCCTGCCGCTCACTTTGTCTAGAATGGAAATACACTAATAAAAGCCCGTCAAAGGAGTCTGAATAAACTTCACGTAATAATAGAAATTAGTGGACTATAAGTTTGAACATGATTAAGGAGTCTATTGTCAAAGACTATCATAGCCCTCTATAATAACAAATTTCGCCAAGGCTTCACTATAGATTGAAGACAAACAATAGGTATCAATCTATTCTGAATTTGACCACATACTATAAAGAATAAACAAAAGAGTATATAATTATGCTTTTTAAATTGATTTAAAGTATTTTTTATGTGTAATTTTTAACAATTATTAGCATTCTGTAGTCCTTCTCTGTATTCTCTGTAAGTGTAGGCAATTTCCTACGTCCACGCAATTTTCGTAAAAGTGGTACAAAGTTTTTTCTTCACGTATTAATATATAGATAGCAAAGTAATGTTTGTTGGTGTGTTGGCGCGCTGCTAGGGGTCGTGTCCGCAGCACGCGGTGCAGTCGAGGCAGCCGTGCGGCGCCCCGCCGGGGGACCGCTACCTCTTGCCGCGACAACCCGCCTGCTCCTGGAATACGAACAGACTGAATAATCCTGACTCATATGACCCAACGAGTTTCTCGCCGGATCTTCTCAGTGGGTCGCGTTTTCGATCCGGTGGTAGATTCTGCGAATTCTCTTGGTTTGAGGCCCCAAGAGCTCACCTACACACTAGGGTATCGCTGACATAGACTCTCAAGGCTATCAGCTTAGGTAGGAAAATGACTCATATGGGCGGTAGGGCTTGTGAGCCCGCACGGGTAGGTACCACCATTGAAAGAAAGACCCCACCACCACCCCGCCTATTTCTGCCGTGAAGCAGTAATGCGTTTCGGTTTGAAGGGCGGGGCAGCCGTTGTAATTATACTTGAGACCTTAGAATTTATACCTCAACGTGGGTGGCAGCATTTACATTGAAGATGTCTATGGGCTCCAGTAACCACTTAACACCAGGTGGGCTGTGAGCTCGTCCACCGATTTAATCAATAAAATAAAATAAAGGTATAGTTTTTTTTCTCTTTTACTTTAAAACTTGTGATCAGTCGCCAAGACTATAATCAGCTTCAGAGTGTTCATGGTTTGGAAGGGCAAAGCCAATGCTCCGTCTCGTCTTAGTAGGATAGCATAGTCGGCTCTCTCGAGTCTTCTAATCGGATTTGGCTGCGAGACCATACCGGATAAAGGGTTTGGGTCAGCTACTAGCTGTACCCGTCCGCTTTGTTGGGCATTTAAAATTAACATTATTATTTCTCACCCCCACAAAGATTCCCATCATTAACGCCACCGCATCTGGTGTAGGGAGTCCAACACTCATATAAATATTAGCCTATCCATTAAGTATGTACATGTATTTTCTACATGGATACCAAGTTTCAAGTCGATCGTATGGTTCAGTAGTTATAACGGAACATTCGTAAAAACCACTGTAGATTTATATATTAGTACTAGCTGACTCAGCAGACTTCGTAGTGCCTCAATCGATAAATAAAAGACCTAAGCTTTTGTATAAAATAAACTTAAAACAAACAAAAGGAATCCGTCCGACGGGGGACATATCAAAAGAAAAACAAAATTGTTATTTTTATTTAATTCCGAGCATCTTCATATTTATCTATCTTTTAAACCTTCTCTGGACTTCCACGAATAACTCAAGACCAAAATTAGCCAAATCGGTCCAGCCGCTCTCGAGTTTTAGCGGGACTAACGAACAACAATTCATTTTTATATATATGGATAGATTTTCGAAATACTTCATCAATTATGCAGTTTTTTAACTGTACTCTCAGTTTAGTGTAATTGATTACGGAGCTGCAAACGTATGTATTCGCGATGCCGATACTAGAGTACGGCCTGTTCACCTGCAGGGCGCGGACGGTCTCCAGCAGCTCCTGCTTGTCGGCCAGCAAGCTGACGGCCTCCTGCTGCGCCTTGTGGACGCACTGACGCAGCGCGGCGGCCTCTTCTACTTTCCTGCACAATTGACAACAACCTGTTTTTATATTGTTACGCCGGTAAGAGTAACGCCATCTATCTCCGAATAGTCGAACGAATATCGGAGGATCTAGTATCACCTAGAACGTTCGAGAAGTACAACGCCATTTATTGTTAGATAGCGGAAACTACTACTAGAGGTGTGTGGAATATTCTCGAACGAATATCGAAGGACCCAGAAGCACCTAGTACGCTCGAGAAGTACAACGCCATCTATTGTCAGATAGCGGAAACTACTACTAGAGATGTGTGGAATATTCTCGATAATTCTAGGGATGAGGTATCGGCTATAAAAGCGCTGTAGAGATAGCACGCAGTCAGTCAGTAGTCGGAACTAGGTACTCGAAGTGAAACAGCGAACGGATCACCTGAAGCGAAACGGAACAAGCGAGTTCAGAGTTTTAAAGTGTTTGTTGAGTGTTTTAAAGTGTTTGTGAAGTGTTTAAGTGTTCTAAGTTACATAATACAGTGTTAACTTGTAATTCAGTATAATTTTATTTATCCCGAACCCCAGCGCGTAACAATATGCATCTGCGAGCCTTATTATCGTGTAATGAAAAAAAAAAACACAAAACTTATTAGTGTTATTATTTGTGGTATCGTGGGCCAATATGGGTGGTAAGTACCACCGGTCCCGTCTGTTTCTGCCGTGAAGGTTGCAAGGGTGGGGGCGATCTGATATAAATAAAACTCTGATGTGTTCAAGGTACGTGACGGCATTAGCTTTGTGATTCCGTTATCCACTTAACACTAAATGATAAGTGAGCTAGATCGCCCATATAAGAAAATAGAACGAATCGACTTTAACTTACTACTTGGAGACTAATTATTAAAGTAAATGTCATCGGCTGCATCAGTTTATAAGGACATTGTACTCACGCTCGCAATTCCCTATTGTCATCAGCGATCCTCGACAGAGTGAGCAGTCTTTTCCTCAACTCCTCGTTTTCCTTGTTCAAGCTGTCTATTGTGGCCCTGGCTTCGTCCAGTTCGGGGTTCGGTTGTGGAGTGCTGGGCGAGGCCACCGTGGAGGGCGTGGAGAGCGGCGGCCCGAGCCTCAGCACGCCGTCCGACGCCCTCGTGACGCGGAGGGTGGTCAGGTCGATGTCCAGGGGCTGCGGCGGCGGCGACAGTATCGAACGGACCGGGCGGTCTTCCACGAGATGCACCTTCACGTTTTCTATTAAAACCTGAAATATTATAAATAGTGTTTTATTAATAATTTATCGAACTACTATTGACACTTAACGTGTTTTGTTTACAGCTCAGTATACTCGACACTTCAATCCTATCTTTCTTTCGTGTCAACGAACATGGCATCGTTATCTAATATAATGTTACAGTTTTTTTTAAGTGAAACTTCTTTAGGCGCGTTGTGTGTAAAATTAAACTCTCGACAAATTCGTTATGGCTAGAGAGAAAAGATATATATTAGGAGGACTGAGAGTGAGAAAACAGACACAGCGTCTCGCGAACCACTCGACCGTGGAGAGAGGGAAAGGGAAAAAGCGAGTTAGATAGTTTCTCTTATACACAACATTCCCTATTACAAGAGAAATTTGATTTAAGAATGGAAAATATAGAAAAAACCACAATACCGCAAAAGAAGTTTCACTTCTTTCACGTGCACCATATTCTTTAGCGTAACCATTTGTATATTCATTCAAGGCCGATACAAACTTCTAGAGGCATGGGCGGTGCGATGACCTCGTCTTCTATGAACTCCGAGAGAGCGAGCGCCGTGCTCATGTTAAGCGCGAGGCTGAGGTCCCGCACGCGAGCCTCCAGTAGCTCTTCGTATGGAGCCAGGCCGGTTGCTTCGCCCTGTTCAAATATTAAAATAAACTTTGAATAGTTTCTTTTTCTTTACAAATATTTTTGAAAAGGATTGTCTTTTTTTTTCGTTCTTTTACACAAATATCCAAATTCGTTATAAGTAGAGGTCGGAGTAGGTAGATTGATTTAAGGTCGTTGACGTCAAACGTAGAGGATAATATGGACATGCCTCCAAAATACCGCAACTTTATATTTATTGTGATATTTGTTCCGGAATTTTGAAATTAGCATGAATCTGTGTTTAAGGTGAAAAACGCATTAATAATATTAATCTACGCTACCAGTGCTAGTTAATGGTGACCAGTATTTTATTTTATACAAAAACACCTTGGAATAGTTACACCGTATTTTGTCAATTTCGTTGAATTAGAAATGACGCTTGTCAGTATGAGACAAAACTTAGACAGAGCTTTTTGTTACTTTATCTCATAAATATAGAAATTGTATTAAATTTTTTTTTTATCAATTTAAAAAAATAATCATTATGAATAAAATGACATGTTCGTCCATATTATAATATCTTGACGCAAGTATATAAAATCAATCTACCTACTCCGACCACTGGTTATAAAGGTACATCGAGATAAGTGTGTACAGAGGCGAGCTTAATTTTGCTTCCAAATTCAATATTAATAAAAACTGAAAGACATTATTTACATGAATGTTTAAAAAATTTAAAATTACGTTTTCGTTTAAAGTTCTCGATAGTTCTGTCCTGGTCAATCTAGCTGCTACGTTCGGTGTTTCTCGGGGTTTGAGTTCGCTGTCCTCGTCTATAGCAGGTTCGGTCCAAGCACGGGCGCGCATTGAAAATTTGTTCTAGAGTTAACAAAAAAAACTGCATCAGTGAGCAACCTCAATGAGATCTTCTAACGTACATAGTATAAAGGCACACAAAAAGTTTTTTAGCCGCAAAAAACGCTAACCATTTGTATGAATCGTCCGTAATCATTATGAAATTAATAGAAAAGATCATGAAATCCGAGAGATAGAAGAAGTGAATTCACATATTTTTGAGCAAATTTAAAATTGTCTGTCTCACTGAAAAATGAATTTGGACAAAACGTTTACAAGTAATAATAATTTTATACCATTTCAAATTTAAACTAATAGCAGTAACTTAGGTGGTTCTGAAGACTTCAAGAAAAGTTCAAGATAATGTTTAATATTAAATCTATATAAATAGATGCTTTAATTAATGTAAGCGAAATTGCCCAGTAATGACTCTGACGTATGTCACAAATAAATGCATTCTGCGTGTGAACATTCTATTAATAGAAATTACATTTATAGAGAAAGCATATTTTGCGTTCAAAGCACGCAATGAACACGCAACAAGGAATACCAGAGCGCAGAACAGTCATACTTGAAGGAAATTCGAACGAAAGGCAGTATTCCCCAAAAATGAAGGAAAATATTCATCGCTGGAAAATGAGCAGATTGTGAAGACGATAGAGAAATATATAGAGGTCGATGCATAGTTATAAATAAAAAAGTAGGTGGTAACACTGTAGTTTAGAACCTGTAGTTCCTTTTTACTTTCAGAAAAACTTTTTGAGTGCCTCGTGGAATTTAAAATCAAATAGCACTAATACATGTAACAGACGCAAGCGTTATTTATTTCGTTAAAAGCTAAAACGTAAATGCTTAATAAATCCTAAAATAAAATTATTTCCATCACTACTAAATTGTGACATGCACTAAGTGCGTTAGGAAGGATTTTTATTTTATTATAATCATACAATGGCAATGGCTGAAATGAAGAGATGCAGGTAATGTAAAAATTATTCTTAATTTTAGATGCATGTATTTAATTCTGATTTTTTTTTACATTAGGGAATTAGGGATGTCATTCTAGAGGGAAGGTGGGGTCAAGCTCTCATGCGATATGTCTTATAATAAATTAAAATTTTACCGTTAATTCAATAATAATATCGTCATAGACGATCTTTTAAGCAATTATGAATTTCTAAGGGTCACGTGCCCCAAGTTTGACCTACTCAAGGTGGATTTGTAGCGAGAGCGGTAGCTTGATCGGTCTAGGTAAACTTCTTTTTTTTTATTGTTTAGACGGGTAGACGAGCTCACAGGCCACCTGGTGTTAAGTGGTTACTGGAGCCCATAGACATCTACAACGTAAATGCGCCACCCACCTTGAGATATAAGTTCTTAGGTCTCAGTATAGTTACAACGGCTACCCCACCCTTCAAGTCGAAACGCATTACTGCTTCACGGCAGAAATAGGCGGGGTGGTGGTACCTACCCGTGCGGACTCACAAGAGGTCCTACCACCAGTAATTACGCAAATTATAATTTTGCGGGTTTGATTTTTATCACACGATGCTATTCCTTCACCGTGGAAATCAATCGTGAGCACTCGTTAAGTACGTATTTCATTAGAAAAGTTGGTACCCGCCTGCGGGATTCGAACACCAGTGCATCGCTCGATACGAATGCACCGGACGTCTTATCCTTTAGGCCACGACGACTTCATTGGAAAAGGTTTATTGACGAAAGATTTCTGATTGTATTACTCGTGTGTATATTGTAATTGTCCTGCTGGTACGCAACGATGACTCGCTCATATTGACCTAAAGCAGTCAAGCGTTACGGCAGCCAGGGCAGCCGTTATTATAATTTCGTTTAAATTTCGACCTCACATCTCAACCTCAAAGATTCTACTTATGTGTATATAGGCTTCTATAACCACATTGCATTGAGTGTTGAGACAATTAAGATGTTTTTGACTGAATTTAGTCTCATTAACCAATGAAATGTATACTACTCGTGCTGACGTCAGATTGAGATAGTATTGCTATGTTAAGTTCAAAATGGCGATTAGAAAATAGCAAAGAAGCGTTATGTTGAAAATGTTTCCGTCAATTAAAAAATAAATAATAATATTTAATTGATGGCATTTCCATTTTGTTTTGTAAATTGATTAGAGAGAACATGAAAAAATACAATTTAACATTATAACGAAGATACATGTGTTTCAATTAGCATGATGGCAACATTTTCTGTCTCATTCACTCGTACTCAAACAGACCCCCTTGGCTACGACACAAAACCTCTACAAACTAAATCGGCACTCAACATAATGATATCACTACATCGTGTTTATTACAAAATTTAAGGCGATCGACCGCCAAATACCTTGATTCGGGTCTTTCGTCGAGATAGCCGAGCGGGCGGATATTGCCATAGAGAAAAAACACACATAGACACGTAATTATTAGAGTAAAGGATGCAATCTTTTTTTGTAGGGTCAAGCTGACACAACTTGGCATAGACAAAAAATTAAATCAACAATGTTTTTCGTAAATAAAATTGTTAGCTCTAGTTAAAAATAACATTTTTATAATTACTTTCTATTCACAGATTAAATATTTTGAGTTTTTTAAATCGATAACAATTTTAACGGGTTACATCAGCTTAACCTCTATAATAATCATACAAAAATATTAAATTAGAAATTATTGAAACAGCATTTAAACTTTACGGGGAACGAGATACGATGATCAATGGTGTGACATGATGATGGATGCATGCGTATTATGGGGGTCTTGATCTTACAATGCGTTCCTGGGAGATCTCACATAAGCAAAATATATTTTTATATACCTACTGTAAGTCATGAAGGAAAAGTATTAAACAAAGTTAACAGTTTTATTTTTGTATAGATATTGAATAAATAGCATTTTAAGATTTACAATAATAAAATTTAAATTAAACTTGTGAGGTATAATGCTCGAGTTTTGTAAGTTAGGTTATGTTCTGTCGTGCTGATATGTAACGTGTTAATGATTATTTTGTAAAAGATCGCATAATGGGAGTTTTTGCGTTTGAAAATGAACATTATAATGTTTGTTAAATATTAAAAAAAAATATTACATCTTATAACACTGTCATGATTTAGGCATAATTGTTTACAACGTTGTACCAGTCTGTTAACTACGAAGTATCACTTTGAAAAAAATTATCACCGATCAGACATTCGGTTGTCGAGTGAAAGGACAAACCAACAAATGTATTATTAGATATTTTTATGTTAATCTACATTAGCTGTAGACTGTTAGATTGCATACATTTAAAAAAACTCATTTTGTTGGACGTTAGCAAAATACAATCACATAATACGACTTGCCGTACTCGCCCGCTTCGCTGGGCATTTAATATTAACATTATTATTTATTGTCATTATTATTAGGGAGTCCAACACTCATATAAATATTAGCCTATCCATTAAGTACATGTATTTTTTACATGGATACTAAATTTCAAGTCTATCTGATGCATGGTTCAGTAGTTATAACGGAACATCCGTAAAAACTACTGTAGAGTATAGATAGATTATTGATTCACATTAAATATAATATAACTGAAAAACGCAACAACTCTCATCAAGTAATATTAACAATCAACAACAGAATAGGAATTCAGTTTTTGAGTAGTCGATAAAGTGGAGACGAATCTGAGTATAGAGTAAACGTTAATAAGAGCAGTTGCACGCTCACCTGGAACTCGTCCCAGGGTATGGCGGTGCACTCGTCGGAGACCAGGTCGTCGGCGGCGAGCCGCAGTCTAGAGCTGCCGTTGGCGCTCTGGTGGACGACGTGTATGTTGTTCAGGCGCCATGTCGACGTTGATATCTGTTTCATAAGCCTTTAGTCATCAATTTTTTTTGAATAAGATTTTAGATACTGGTAACTAAGACCTTTAGGTCAAGACTTATGTTAATTTTAATAAAAACTTTTTTATATTATGAAAAATGATATTATAAAATGAAATGAAGTTGATTAATATGAAACATGGCATGAAATGATATGGGATGAAGTATAATCTCAATAAAATAGTGGTCATTTACTGAGACTTTTTCAGTGGACTTTTTGGAGGATCCCGAGAAGTTACGTTCAGCGGCTTTGTTTCATTTTCCCACATTTGTGCACTTCCACAGATACTAAACTGTTACTAAACCACCGTTATTACACATTTAAACCTGAAGAAACACTAAATAGACAAAATAAAACAAATCACACAACTTCACTCCTCGCTTTCCCGCTATAAAGTCCTTTAGTCATCAACAAACTCATTTTACTTTATAGAGGTTCGTTATCGATATACCAAATCGTCATCACAAGACGATATGGGTATATTTAAATAGAATTTTGTATAGAGTCTAACATAGTTTTCTCTTGCATTGTCGATATTCTTACGTTCAATCGATAGGTAGACTAAAATTCATAGATTTATTTATAATAGAAATTCGGGAAAACATTATGTTTAATTCAGATTGGCCCTTATAACAATCGAAACTCTGAGAGAGTGGTCACAACGTGAAGATATAAAACTGAAGTCCCAATAGCTTTTGTACTACTATTGCTGTTACAATTACAGTCGATAGAGAAGCAGTAACAGCAGCTTGAGTAGACCGGAACTTTACACCTTATTAACAGTTGCAAAATGATGTTATCATTGAGACGTTCTTCTACAAAATTCATTAACAAAAAAATTTAAAATTTTATTTATTAATTAAAAATAATGTTATTTTTATGGTGACTGTACAGTTGTTTTAAAAGAACGACAGTTGAAAGCTTTTCTAAACGTTCGACTTACAACGTCACGTCTCCTACACGAGCTGGTGACAGAGTGGTCGCTCGGCGACGAGGACCGTTCCACCACCTCGGCGGCCACCTCCACGGCGCTGGACGCACGACCATGTTCGAATTCTCTGATTAAGAGGTAAATTTGGAAAACATTAATTAATGAAATTAAGGATTATAAATATTTAAAAAAAAAGGGCTTAGGAAAGGCAATAGGGTATTGGCAAAAGTAGTGCAGGACATGTTTAGAGTCGGCATAGTGATGATCTATACAAAGAAGAGAGGAGAAAGAGAAGTGAGCCAATCATAGAGGTCTATGTTCAGCAGTGGACTGTTATAGGCTGATGATATGAAACGATACAAGCAATAGAATAAGATAATTGCTTCGGTGTTTGAACGAGCTCACGGCCCACCTAGTGTTAAATTGTTATCGAAGCCCACATACATTTACAACGTAAGTGCCGCCACCCACCTTGAGATATAAGTTCTAAGATTTCAGTATAGTTACAACGACTGCCCCACCCTTCAAGCCGGAACGCATTACTGCTTCACGGCAGAAATAGGCAGGGCGGTGGTACCTACCCGTGCGGACTCACAAGACGTCCTACCACCAGTAAAATGTGTACCAGTGTGTACCAGTGGAGTGTCCGCGCTTCGGCCCGCCAGTTCGGTTACCTGAAGGCGAGGTCTGCGTCGTCGGGCGACTCCGCGGCCAGCCCCACGACCACGTAGCGGTCGCTGTCCGAGCTGGCGGTGGAGGCGGCGTCGCTGCGCGTGTCGTCTCGTGTGAGGGCGCTGTCTATCGAAGTCACTAGCGAATTGAAACCGCGTCGCATCGTTGAGAAACCTGTGTGAAAAAAAATCTATTTAGCGTGAGTAGGCAGACAAGCTTACTCGGCGGAGCCTATGGACATCACATCGCGATATGAACGCCACCCATTCCGCGACGAGTGATCGAAATTTGAATTATTATAGACACAATATCGCCGACAATCGGAACCCATAGTTGCATCGCGACAGACATAGATGGCGTTACGTATCCGTGCGAGTTTACACTACGCCTTAAACTATAAATGCCGAATGGCGTATACAAAAATAAGTTTAAAAAGTTCAGTACTTCTTTTAAGGTTTCAATTCAAATCAAGTACCTGTTTATACATACATCTGGAACGTTTGCAATACTACTTGGCCACTTTCATCAGTAGGTATGTACCGAACTATTGAGTAAGGTGAACAGAAATTATCATGTCTATGGTAAAGAACTATCCGAAATTCTTCAATAGAATTCAACTTAAAATCACAATGTATACAATTATAAATTCACAGGTGACTAATACATTTTTAGGAAGACCGAGACAAGGCTTACTTCTCAGGACTTCTTTCTAGCTGGATTTGAAAGCTACGTTTGTGTATGCAAGTATCACCTACACTAAGTGTAGAATATACCTATAGTAAGTGTAGAAAGAAGATACCAAGATTATGTTTATTGGCACTCGTCATAGCTCAAGAACTTGAATTGAACTTCAATGGGGTTTGAATCTGAATAACTTTAGCTCACCAAACTATATTGTGATCAAAATACAAAATTTTTAAACATGTGCATAACATGATGAGTCAATAATGTTGGTTAATAATGCCAATTACAATGGTTACAGGGAATTATGTCGCACAAGCTTGGTGACGATGTATCTTTAAAAAAAATAAAAAAAAAGAATAATTTTTGGAACCCTTCTTATGTTTATCTCGTAGTCTACCGGTGTATTGGTTACCTCCGAAGTTAAGTCCCGGACTCGCGGGAGGAGGGACCTCCTCTGCGGGCAGGGACTGCGCTAACAGCACGTCCACACTGCTCGCCGGGGGCACGCCGCTGTCTCTGTCTTGAATAGAGGGCGCCATGGTCGCTTCGGATCCTGTGCAACGTTGAATCTATATTTATTGAATTATACGAATTTTATCCACGTTAATAGAAGAACAAAAGTATGTTTTTTTTAGCCCTTGTAGGCAGACGAGCATACGGCCCACCAATGGTGAATGGTTGCCGTCACCCGTGGACTTCAGCAATGCCATGGGCAGAGCCAATCCACTGCCTACCGTTAAGTACTCTCCACAGGCCTCGTTCGACCAAGGATATGTCACAGCGCTCGGAAAACATCATAGAGGGGAGCTCATTCCAAAGCCGGATAGTATGTAGCAAAAAAGATCTCCGAATATGCACTATGGATGAACGCAGTGGCTCCTGGTAGTATAATATATGGAGATCCAATAAATTAAACCCTAACAATAAACTAAGCGCTCTATTTGCGCGAGTTTAGCAATCAATAGTTTTGTATTTACCCATTTTCAAATCTTGCAAGCTGGACGAATCCAAAGGAACACTGTCCAAATCTCGAGAAGACTCCTGACCGGGACAGTTCGACGGAAGCACGAATGTTAGTTCCACTGCTGGAACCACAAGTCCTACAACGATTGACCTGAAAGAAAAAAAAGAATTTTGCTATTTTTAATATCGCTTTTGCTTAACTTACTTAGTAATACCGGATCCTATAGATTACATTGTACGTTGTTAACTTTTCATTTAAGTCTATTATCTTCAAGTCAATGCCAGCACCCACCTTGAGACATGGGGTCAAAGTCCCATATAATTACGTAATAAATAGATATAATAGCCGGCAAACTTCTTGAGCATTTGTTGACGTAGTGGGGGTAAGTTTGCGCATGGTACACTCACGTGCAAAAACATTATTTACTCTGCGTCATAATGCAATTAAATTATTAAAATCAACATATGTATTTATTCATATATTTATGAGAACATCAACAAAAAATATAGGTTAATAATTGTAATAATTTAATCTTGGGGTAAAATAGATATTCCTTCTATTAAGTCAAAACTAGAGCTGTTGCCAGGTCTTGGTTCAGTTGAAGCGAAGCTGGAATTTGTAATTTTTTTTTCGTTATCATAATCTTGACCATCATCATCATCACTTTTTTCATCACCCGAGTCGCCATCATCGTGATGGGTCGACATAGGGCTCATCAGTGTAGTTTACAACTCGGTCGGTTCGATCTTCTTTTTTGTCTATAATTAATTATTTTTTTAAGATATTCGATTCGTAGTAATCGAATGTTACTTTTTACAATTACCAGCTTCCGATTATTTTCTATTTTCCATCTGAAGCCTAGCTCTTTCATAATTCGTCGTAAACTTCATTCCGAGCCATTAAAATGTATATCTTCTTTAAAATTTTCGAAGCCTTTCTACGGTTCGGAGTTTCGCTGCTTGTTATGTAGTTATTATGATTACATCTTTTTATTACAGATTGAACGAAACTATCCATTCCGGTAACTTTCTTCTTCCCTGATCTTTTCTTACCCGGAGTCCCAAACACGGCGAGCAAGCCACAGCCTTTAGCTTCGTTAATAATGCACCTAACAGTACTCAATGATGTTTTTGTTGCTTCCGAAGTCTGTTTTACTTTTTCCATATCATTCTTCCCCGGTTTTATAATGAAGCAATATACGTCGTACACAATTTTTTTACCCTTTCTTTTGAATACTACACCAGTTTGTCGTGATATAGTGTATTTTTTATAAAAAATCAACAAACACTCAACAAATAGCAATGGCAACAAAGTCAACAAGCAATTATAACAAATAACTTAACGATTAATAACGATAAACTTTCCACTGTACGCAAGCGTACTTTTGGGAGCAAGCGGAACGAGGGCGCGATGCGGGGCGCAAGGTTCGACTGATCTACCAATAACGCGCTCGATACGATTTCCCCTGCCGTCGCGCCTCACCCTCACCACCAAAGTGATCTAAAATTCGGTTCTGCGCAGTCAAGGTCATTTGCTCAAGAACTTTGCCGGTTACTATACAGGAATATTGTATTTTTACAAATTCTTATGTTCTCATTCTAGTTTTAATTACATTTATTGGTTTCTTAAATTGCAATTTGGTTATGATCGACGTATTATCTATACTAATATACAAATCTACAGTGGCTTTTATGGATGTTCCGTTATAACTACTGAACCATGCATCCGATTGACTTGAAATTTGGTATCCATGTAGAAAATACATGTACTTAATGGATAGGTTAATATTTATATTAGTGTTGGACTCCCTACTAATAATGACAATAAATAATGAAATGAAAATAATGAAGCAAGTACGGCTTGTAACAAATAAGATTCTATATCTGTATTTTAAATTATGGTGTACAGTACATCTTTGTCCCTTAACTTCTATTAAATATTACAGAAACTTCACATCTCGTAGAACCAATGAGGTTTATATCCGTGGAACCACTTGGCAGGCTTAATATCGAAGCCTTATTAACTAGCTCACCCTTCTTCTGCGTCAGGCTGTCTGCTCGCGTCGTGCGCCAGCCACGCCATCATCTCGGAGACGCGTTCTAGCTGCCGCAGCAGGAACAACAACTGGTAGTGGTTCACTTGTAGTCCGGCCAGACCGCACGTCCGACCCACCACCCATATGCGAGAAAGGTCATCATTGAAGCACAACTGCAAAACAAGGTCATGTTGTTAACGTGGGGTTGTCTAAGTAAATGTGGCAAGCATAGAAATGTTTTTAGTATACTTTTCAGGTGACTATTGTATTAAGCCTATCTTTTTTTTTCCTACCTAAGCTGATAGCCTTGAGAGGTTATCTCAGCATTACCCTAGCGCGTAGCTGAGCTCTCGGGGCTCAAACCGGAGGCGTTGCTAACACTGGCTCTAGCAAGAGCAGTGCTTTGCAGAATCTACCAACGGATCGGAAACGCGACCCACTAAGAAGATCGGGCGAGAATCTCAGTGGGTTGTGTCTGTGGGTTAATTCGCTCGTCGAGCCCTTCGTCGCAAGCGACGGGTTCGACAAGTACGGTGACCGGAAACATATTAATAGCGCCGCTAAAAATGCTTTATCCAATTCATTCATTAATAAAGGTTATTTGCAAGTTATTTTGCTCGATTTATTTAATAATCTCTGATCAGCAGTGAATGTCCTTATGTTGATAATAGTGTTACGCCGGTAAGAGTAACGCCATCTGTCGCCTAATAGTCGAACTAATATCGAAGAACCTAGAAGCACCTAGTACGCTCGAAAAATACAACGCCATCTATTGGCATATAGCGGAAACTACGACGAGATGTGTGGAATATTTTCGATAATTCTAGGGATGAGGTATCGGCTATAAAGGCGTTGTAGGGATGGCACGCAGTCAGTCAGTAATCGGAACTACTCGAAGCGAAACAGCGAACGGATCACCTGAAGCGAAGCGGAACAAGCGAATTGAGAGTATTAAAGGTTTGTGAAGTGTTTAAGTGTTTTAAGCGTCGAATACAGTTTTTAAGTTGTACTTTGGTGAAATTTTTATTTATCCCGAACCCCAGCGCGTAACAATAGTAATTGTAATACAGAAGTAAGTGGTCTCGTTAGTCGCAGCTGGCACTGACCCAGGCGGTGAGCGGCGTGGCGTCGAGCAGGGGCGCGGGCTTGTAGTTGGTAGCCCTGGCGCCACAGAAGTCCGCCCACAGGGGCTCCACGCGCGCGCACCACACCGAGCGGTTCTCGCGCCACAGCAGCTCCGGACTTATGGCTGTGCCACGATCCACGTCGTCTAGGTCTGGATTCAGGTCAAACACGGGTTAACAGGATTCAGCAACATGCTTTTTTTATTGCCTATTGATTTATGATTGAACCATTTCTGGTGGCCCCGAGGCCTATCCAGTTTCACTAGGACAAGTGGGCGAGCAAAGTCTCAAACAAGAGGGGTGGGATTAGCCAACAACTGCCCGAGCGCCTCAGAAGGAGACCTAACGACTCATGAGCAGCTACTTCGCGAATGAATCTACTTCCGGATCGGAATCGCGACCCGCTGAGAAGATCCGGCGAGAAACTTAGCGGGCTGATGCATGGGTTAAGTTGGCAACATGCATAGCCGCCAACTTATGTGGTACAGCGTATCGAGAGCCCGCACAGGTAGCACCGCCATCTTCTCTATTTTTGTTACAGGGCAATCATGCGTTCCAGTTTAAAAGGTGAGAGTTTGATACCATTGAAATTTGGGTTTCGCATTTAAATTTTTTTACTGCTTAAAAGCGTAAAAGAGCTCACGGCTCACGAGATGGGAGTCTAAGTCTCAGTTCTATAGTACAACGGGTGTCCCAAACTTCAGACAGGACGCAAGGGGTGGTACCTACCAGTGCGGTCTCCAAAGACGCCCTACCACCATCAAACTGAGACGACGTCTACAAGTTGCTATTGCCTGTCTATGGGCCCCGATCCAAATTTACTCTGTTCACGAAACAAATTTTGTACTTACTGTCCGCGTGTAAAACAAATTGTTCGTGTATAGGATCCAGATCTTCAGTCGAAGCTGGGAATTCTCCTCTGGGCGGTGTCGCCCTCCTCAGGGCTGACAGTATGGCAGCTAAATCAGCTCTGGTACCGGCCGTGTCTGAACGTAATAACGTATAATTTATATCACTGAAACTACAATCTTAAGACCCTAAATTTAAGTGTCAATATGTTTCTGGAAGGTGGTGTATGGTAAGCTTTTTGGAATTTTCACGTGTATACCATTGAATACTAATGCAGCCTATCCACGTTTTAACATCAGATGTGAACCAGATACTATTTTTTTATATGTTTCATTTTACTACAACAAAGTTTTGTGACTTGTAGTTTAAATTTCACAGGTATTTTTTTTTAGGAAATAGCTCCAGCCTCATTATGCCACTGATGTATTTATCACCTTAAAAAGCGGTGATGTTTTCAATTAGGTAATTACAAAAAATATTACTACAGTGAATGTTTAAATAACTTTCTTAAATTGATCTATATTTTACAATTTTATTAAATCAATAACTATAACGCAAGGCGCAGTTTATTTTTTTTGTTTTTAAACGTATTTAGCAAATGGATACCCGTTTAGGATACGTCTACTGTATACGCGCGACATCATGTCCATTGGGGCCAGAGGCGACGTGCGGGGGACAGCTCGCCCCATCTTCGCTCGTCTACCCGCATTTGTCTGATGTCGAGTGTTGTCTTTGACGGTTGTAACGCGCGCTTATCGATATCGATATACGCTAACGCTATTGTGTTATTTAACCATGACTACTCCGCTTCCAACAAGTTCAGATAGAAAAAAACCTACTGAAAAAAGATACTTACTGATTCCGACTCTGATCTGTCAGTTGTCTTTTCATTTGATAGTGATTGAATTGGAATTTAAAAAATATTTTTCTCTATTAGAAATAAACAAGTAATTAATTTCATAAATTGCAAAATTACCTTATGTTACATTAAACCAAATTGACAGCTGTTGACTAAATCGGTATTTATTATCGACATTACCATAATTGACAAGGTCACAGCACTACCGCATTCCTCAGGATGGACATGAGCTCGCGCGCCTACTGTACATGTTTTCGTTCGATTGATTTTCTGAACTTACTGGCTCTGGGCGATTCTCGCACGTTCGTGAGCATGGCGCGCGCGGTGCACACGTGCAGCTCCTTGGGCCGGTCCCGCTGCTGAGACACGTGCTCAGGGCCCGCCTCCAGCACTACCTGTTACATCAATTTCATTGTAAACAAAAACTTGATTTTCTAATAGCATTACTTACTTGGTAGCGCGATTCGCAAAGGACGAGAAACATCTAATCAATACTGGTAGTGAAATTATTGTTGTTAATGTCATTGGGTCTCTAATTTGATGGACATAACTTTATACAGCTGCTGTTAGCCCTTTATTTTTATCATATTACTAATAAATTAAAATATGCGAATTTCATAAAATTGGCGATAAATAAATCTAAGAATCAATTAACTGTGCTACATGTTCCAATAAGAAAATAATTACAATCAAATATTTTAGAAATTAGGGTATGCTGCATTAAATGCAAAAGAACAATGTAAGAGCGATTTTATTATTCATCCATAGCCAGGGATTGCGTAAACAATAATGCATCCTGCTCACCTTTGGCATAATGGCTTCCATCCTGACGTCCATGTAGGGGGCCGGCGGGGGCGTGTCGGGGTCCACGGCCCCCCGGCGCGGCGGGGCGAGCGCGCCCGCCACGTGCGGCAGGAACGCGCCCAGCCACACCGCGCTGTTCACGTCCAGCGACACGCGCACCGGACTCAGCTGGACGTACAGCTTCGGGGCCGGGACTGGAACGGTAACGGTATGTGTGGCGACATCTGTCGGTGACAAGTGGATTCTGCGAAGCACTCAGCTCCTGCTTGGACTAATATTTTCAATTTTTTTTTTGTGTTTCCTTTTTAGGCAAACGAGCGTACGGCCCACCTGATGGTAAGTGGTTACCGTCGCCCATGGACTTCAGCAATGCCAGGAGCAGAGCCAAGCCGCTGCCTACTGCTTAATACTCTCCACAAGCCTCGTTTGAAGAAGGACATGTCATAGCGCTCGGGAAACACCGTGGAGGGGAGCTCATTCCATAGCCGGATGGTACGTGTCAAAAAAGACCTCTGGAAACGCACTGTGGATGACCGCAGTGGCTCCAGGTAGTATGGATGAACTCTACTCCGGTGGCGGGCAGTGCGATGGTAAAAATGAGACGTTGGTATCATCTCGAACAATTCCTCAGAGCACTCCCCATGGAATTATAATATAATTATTGTTTTTTATTGCTTAGATGGGTGGACGAGCTCGCAGCCCACCTGGTGTTAAGTGGTTACTGGAGCCCATAGACATCTGCAACGTAAATGCGCCATCCAGCTTGTGATATAAGTTCTAAGGTCTCAAGTATAGTTACAACGGCTGCCCCACCCTTCAAACCGAAACGCATTACTGCTTCACGGCAGAAACAAGCAGGGTGGTGTTACCTACCAGTGCGGACGCACAAGAGGTCCAACCACCAGTAAGAAATTTTCTCAGATTGAGGCCGTGAGTTCGCCTACATGTCCGCGCGTAGCTGGAATAGTCTTAGGCTACCGGCGAGTAGGTAAGTAAAAAAAAGAATAACTAGTGTGGCTAATGCGAGTTTATAACGTTCTCGATCGCGTAAAAGTTAACTCCAATTTGTATGCAGTTGAAACAGCGCCCCTAGCGGCAAACGCAGGCAAATGTTCCAACTCCATACAAATTGGAGTTAACTTTTACGCTATCGAGAACGTTAAAAAACTCGCACTAAGCACAAAGATAAAGCTAACCATTTTGGGGGATTTAAGCGACGAAGGGAAGATCTTCCATCGAGCGGGCAATATTACTCGGTACACCGACGGTCCGAATATTGTTGTTCGGAACTTGTATATGAGTCGACTATTATCAAAGCCGGCAATGTGACTTCTGGACAATTATTGGTAAATCAGAAAAACGAATTATTGACTTTGTATTCCATTGGCAGTCACAAAACTGTTCTGAACGACATCTTAGATAAATAACAGGTTAAGTATTAACCTTTATTTAATGCAGGTTTTGAACCGTATTCTTTGAAGGAGACGATTATATTTAAATCAATCTGTATTGACATATCAATAATATTTTTTTGTCCAAATGCACAGATTGCCACCTTTGATAATAGACGACTCATATATGCAAGTTTATCTTGAAAATGTCGTAAGCGAGATTCAGGCATCTGTCAAATATCTTGTGTTGTATGATGGCTACCCGCCACACAATAGTGGTAAAGAGAACAATTGCGTCCTCTTGATGCAACAAAATAAGGTGCACGAAGAAATTTGGTTTTTGGATTTTTATGGTACTAGGTGATTTTTCGTCGACCCTATTATCGCTTTAGACATGACTAAGGACGCGTCTGACGTCTCCGTGTGTGCTCAGTTGACAGTGACAGTTGACAGGTACCTGGGAAGCAGTCGTCTCCGGGGTAGTAGAAGAACGTGAGTTCAGCGTGCAGGAGGCCGGCGTCTCCGGGCAGAGTCGCCTTCTCTGCGTTGACTAGAGGCCGCAAGGCTTCGTAAGTTTTCGAACCAGTTGATACCTGTGACAACAGTTTACTAATTAACACTCTGCAATCGGGAAACAACACTCCGCTACGATTTGCTGTAGTGATGGGTTCTTGATTGAAAATATATTTTTTTATTGTTTAGATAGGTGGACGAGCACACCTGGTGTTAAGCGGTTATTGGAGCCCATAGACATCTACAACGTAAATGCGCCACCCACCTTGAGATATGAGTTTTAAGGTATCAGTATAGTTACAACGGCTGCCCCGCCCTTCTAACCGAAACCCCTTACTACTTCATAGCAGAAATAGGCGGGTTGGTGGTACCTACCCGTGTGGACTCACAAGAGGTCCTACCACCAGTAATTAGAACGAGATTCGAACACCGATGCATCGCTAGATACGAATGCTCGGGATGTCTTATCCTTTAGGCCACGACGATTTCTACAATTAACTAACAATTAATTTAATAATAAGTTTGTTTTGAAGCTGTTCTGTAGCATTGTCACGGTTACACTTGTGAGCGGCGGGGACCGTCCATCGGTGGGACCATCCTTGTCATATGATCGTTTGCCCATAAAGGCAAAGAAATATAGGTTATGAATTTCTGGTTTAGCAATAATATCAATTTGGTTGTGTGACTTAAAATTACACATACGTTATTTCAGTTAGAATTGTTTGTCACAGTGAACAGACTGCAACTATAATGACGATAACATTTTATTTTTATTGCATAGACGAGTCAGATAGACGGATATATCATCATCCGGTATTAAGCGATTACCGGAGCCCATAAACATCTCAACATGAATGTCCCAAACCATTTTGAGATATGAGGCCGAAGTTCCTAAGGTATATAGCGGATGTCCCACGCGTCAAACCCGAACACGTCTACTTCGCAACTCATAAGAGTATTATTGTACCAAATTGTAACGTCATGACACGTCTTCTTTTAATATTAAAAACAATTGTTTTGTAATATTAAATTAACATTTTTTTATGTCTATAAATTTTATGTACACAATGTTTTTTGTATATTACCTTATATACCGTGAAATTGTCTATCCTCAGCACCAGACATGTCGTCATCAGTTTTCCTAGTTGTTGAAGTATACGAGTTCTTGTTGGTGACGCTAGAAAATTGCATTTCAATGAGTGATCACAATCTAACACTCAAAGTTTACTGAGAACTAGGTAATCCAGTGCAAAAAACATAGAAGAACTTAGGCTGACTGAGCTCCCTCTGGATCTCAATCTGAAAACCTCATCCAAATAAGTAAATTTACTTTATGAACCTTACAAAATTATTTTTACAATATCTTTTAAAAAAAAGTGAAAACCAAAACAGTACTCATTTTTTTTTTCAAACGTACACAACAGATCAAAAGAGAAACTGTTTAAAAAAATTAAGTTGAACCTTATGGTATCTGTCATTATGGTCCAATTACGATTACTAGGTGAACTCCAGTAGCTTTTTTTGGTATTTAAAGATCTAAATTTTTGTGGAAAATATTTTTTTTTTTTTTATTGCTTAGATGAGTGGACGAGCTCACAGCCCACATGGTGTAAGTGGTTACTGGAGCCCATAGACATCCACAACGTAAATGCGCCACTCACCTTGAGATATAAGTTCTAAGGTCTCAGTATAGTTACAACGGCTGCCCCACCCTTCAAGCCGAAACGTATTACTGCTTCACGGCAGAAATAGGCAGGGTGGTGGTACCCACCCGCGCGGACTCACAAGAGGTCCTACCACCAGTATATTATTTCATTTATTCATTTTGTTTTTATTATTTAGTCATCACTGTCAAATCTCATGTGCGAGCAGTAGGCAACCCGCCCCCTCAGCCCTGTCGCTACCTAAGACGCGGCCAACTAGTTCCGCGCGCACTATAGCTCCTATAGAGGGCCTATGATTGTCTCATCCGAAAAAGTAAGTATAGTTCAAAACAGCATTTTTGTCATTTAAATAAGTTGTTATGCAATCCCTGCGACAATGTGGTCATTAAACCTGTTCTTCATTTGTAATTTTTTCAATGTTTAAACAGGTGAACGATCTCACGTTTCTTTTGGTGTTCAATGGTTACCGGAGTCTATAGGCATCAGCAACGTGAATGCGCCACCCACATTGAGACATGAGTTCGAAGTCTTAGTTCTACAGTATAGCGTTTGCGTCGTTTTTCAATATATATTTTTTTATTTATTGCTTAGATGGATGGACGAGCTCACAGCCCACCTAGTGTTAAGTGGTTACTGGAGCCCATAGACATCCACAACGTAAATGCGCCACCCACCTCGAGATATAAGTTCTAAGATCTCAGTATAGTTACAACGGCTGCCCCACCCTTCAAACCGAAACGCATTACTGCTTCGGGGCAAACAATAACGCAAATTATAATTTTTGCAGGTATGATTTCGATTACACGAACTTATTCGTTAATTTAAGCTTATTACGTTTTCATACGTCAAAATTAGAGCAAATTTGCTAAATTGCTCTAAGACAACAAACGTGTTTTACGCACTCACTATTTCTCTTAACTCGATAGCCCTAGGTATTCGCCCCTATGATGTCTGACGATGGTATCAATAATGCGGTCGCCCCGACATAACGCACGTTTGGTGCTATAACATCACTTATATGCAATTTTTGATAAAACTGAACTGAGTATGAGAAAATCCACTTTTTTAATAGTTATTAGTGAGAATGTTTGCTTTTACTGACGAAGTTTAAAGTTGTAGTTTAAATATTATCATTTTATTTCTTTAGTCGAGAAGAACTATATAATAATTGTAATAAGATGTTGAGTTTCCAAACGCTTCTCCTGAAAAAAAAAATTATTTAAATTAATTATTATTATTAGCATAAGTGACGTGATAGCACCGTATGTGCGATATATAATATATATCTCTAATCGATATCGATATATCTCTAATCTAAAATGGTTCGATTGCGATTCGTTTGATGTACAGACGTTAGGAATGCCCAGTACGAGCGGTCCTCGTCTTCTTAAACTACACAGGACGCGTGTGAGTAAGTAATGTATGAGTAATTACGTTGTGACGTAGTCGTAGCGGGCGGGGCACTGGAGGCGCTGCGCTGCGGGGCCTCCGCTGCCGGCTTCTGACCTGTACCGTTCGACGCTGTCTCTTCACCTCTCGCGACCTGGTTCTAGAGCACAGATTATCTTGTTGTTAGTTAGTATACGTTGACTGACAATAACAAGCTCAGTGACGAATGTGAAGCGTCCGCCGCCTGATGGATACGACGACCGGTGTATATTGATTTTTACAAGAATTGCATGTACAACAAAGATCGAATCCGCATATTTTTACTTAATTGTCAACTATAAGATTTGGAGTCGATTATCAGATAACGGATGCTTCATAAGTTTACTGCTGCAAATATATTGCATTTATATTATTTTTGTCTTTATTCAATACGGTCATTTATCGTAGTAGCTGACATTGACACTTCAGTCAAGACATTCTTCTGGCTTATATAAGATTCTGGCATAGTTTTCATTTATTGGCATATTGGTATACGAGCATACGATCTTATGGTGAGTGGTTACCGTCGGTCATGGACGTCAGCAATGCCAGGTGCAGAACCGCCGCTGCCTAAACAGACCGCAGACACACTAGTGAAGTCGTCGTGGCCTAACGGATAAGGCGTCCGGTGCATTCGTGTGTAGCGATGCACCGGTGTTCGAATCTCGCAGGCGGGTACCAATTTTTCTAATGAAATACGTACTCAACAAATGTTCACGATTGACTTCCACGGTGAAGGAATAACATCGTGTAATAAAAATGAAACCCGAAAAATTATAATTTGCGTAATTACTGGTGGTAGGACCTTTTGTGAGTCCGCACGGGTAGGTACCACCACCCTGCCTATTTCTGCCGTGAAGCAGTAATGCGTTTCGGTTTGAAGGGTGGGGCAGCCGTTGTAACTATAATTGAGACCTTAGAACTTATATCTCAAGATGGGTGGCGCATTTACGTTGTAGAGTACGTATGGGCTCCAGTAACCACTTAACACCAGGTGGGCTGTGAGCTCGACCACTCATCTAAGCAATAAAAAAAAAAAAAAATGCGGGTAGGTATATCGATCATCGTTCGAAGGACTCGGCGAGTAAATTAACCCACAGACACAGCACATTGAATTTCTCGCCGGATCTTCTCAATGGGTCGCGTTTCCGATTCGGTGGTAGATTCTGCGAAGCACGACTCTTCCTAGGGTTCGTGTTAACCTCGTCAGGTTTGAGCCCCGTGAGCTCATCTACAAGTTCTGCGAATCTAGTATAACTCCTCGAGGTCACTAGAATAGGTAGGAAACAAAAAACGGGTATACAATTGGAATCATAAATCATTATGACCTTATTGTTAGTAGAGAGTGGCCTCGGATCGAGTGTTTCCAGCAAATTCGTGCAGAACGATGATAGCGCCTGAGACAGCCACTGACTGTGTGGCGTTGCGGATTCTCTACAAAACAAAAACAAAATTTGAACAATTACTTTTACTATTCAAGCCAGTAAATACGTCCGCTGTTTATCAGGGGACAAGGGTATGCGACCGCGGACCGATTTGGCGGGGGCCATTACGTAACAATTAGTGTGTAGTAGTATCCCCCCCCCACAAATTTTATTGGTGGTCGAGCGTATCGTGGGTCTGGTGTGTCGTATTGCGAAGTGTAGAATGTCTGTATTAAGACGACGGGTAACATTCAGTTTGTCGTGTTTTAGTTGGTGCAGATGGTCACAATAATAACCGAGAGCATTTGGATTAGTACACTTCATGTGAGTTCACACTCACCCCATTCAATTGCATAGAATATCTTTCGTTTTTTTAAATATTTTTTTATTGTCTTTGTAGGCAGACGAGCATACAGCTGATGGTAAGTGGTCACCGTCGCACATGGATGTCAGCAATGGCAGGGTTAGAGCCAAGCCGCTGCCTACCATTAAGTACTCTCCACAAGCCTCGTTTGAAGAAGGACATGATATAGCGCTCGGGAAACATCTGGAGGAGAGTTCATTCTAACTGTCTGTCGGACTGTCGTCTGACTTTTATCACTATAATAAGTCAAGTTAAGATTCAGATTGAATTTTATTCTACGGAGTATACCTGTAGCCTTTCCAGTGCCTCCTGTCGTTAGACGCCTTGTGGTATGGGAATAAGTCAGCTTGCATGCTGATCAGCGTAACTTGAAGAGCGCCACCTTTCGATAGAGACGGCTTTTCTGAACGACCCACTGCAAAACATTAAAAATACATTTCATTGTAATGTAACCGAAGTCATTGGAGCCTAAAGACGCTCGTTGTAACTGTGCACAATGGTGTGTCCGCGCGGGTAGGTACAATCACCCCGCCTATTTCTGCCGTGAAGCAGTAATGGTTTCGGTTTGAACGGTAAGGCAGCCGTTGTAACCATACTGAGACCTTAGAACTTATATCTCAAAGTAGATGTCTATGGGCTCCAGTAACCACTTAACACCAGGTGGGCTGTGAGCTCGTCCACCCATCTAAGCAATGATAATAAAAAAAGAGCACAGTGTAGTGGTACTAACATCCCGGATCGTCGCATAGATGCAAGTCGATCCTGGGCGCGAGCAGATGGTACGAGGTCTCCCGGACGTCGTGCTTAGCGAACACCCGCGCCAGGATGTCGCGCTCGCCCGCCGCCCCGCTCGGCCGGCTCTGTATCTGCTCCCGGGGCTCTTCTATCTGAAACATTTCATTTTATAACTTTAACGGACAGTCTAAAGTCGTCGTGGCCTAAAGGATAAGACGTTCGGTACATTCGTAACTAGCGATGCAACGGTGTTCGAATCCCGCAGGCGTAGATACCAATTTTTCTAATAAAATACATACTTAACAAATGTTTACGATTGACTTCCACATTGAAGGAATAACATTCTGTAGTAAAAATCAAACCCTCAAAATTATAATTTGCGTGGTAGGACCTCTTGTGTGTCCGCACGGGTAGGTGCAACCACCTTGCCTATTTCTGTTATGAAGCAGTAATGCGTTTCGGTTTTAAGAATTCGGCAGCTGTTGTAACTATACTGAGATCTTACAACTTATATCTCAAGGTAGGTGGCAGCATTTACCTTGTAGATATCGATGGGCTCCGGTAACCACTTAACATCAGGTGGGCCGTGAGCTTTATATTACTAGATGTGAACTTGCCTTCCTGAGCGCCTTGGCCCTGGTGGCGGCGGCGGTGGCCCGGCGCACGGGCTGCGCGAGGGCGGCGGCGCAGGCCAGCGCGGCGCGGAGCTGCCCGTCTGTGAGCGCCCACGCCACGGGTTCCGGGCAGATGGCCAGTCGGGATGCTATCACCGCACAATCTGAACAGTCGAAGGTCGCTTTCTCAGTCTATGTCTAAGGTTCGATTTTTTGCTTTAAGGTGAATGGCATGTTATTATTTATTTGCGGTTAAGGGAGGTATTATTTTTCGCATCGAAGAAAAATCTTATTGTATCAATTAGGTAGTTACAGGAATTAATAACATTAAATACAGCAACACTATTATCAACACTAATTACTGTAGTACACATTTATTCAGAACTAAACAATAAATACCATTCATTCAATCATTATATTAATATATTATCTGTGGTCTTCGAATAGTGTTTCAATATTCACGCGTCTAATAACATCTTTAGTTTAGTTGGTACAAAATTATACTATACGGACTTTTTGGCGTGAACGCGAGGAGTGATGTGTTCTGTGATTTATTTTATTTTGTCTAATTAGTGTTTCTTCAGGTTTAAATGTGTAATAACGGTGGTTTATTAACTATTTAGTATCTGTGAAAGTGCACAAATGTGGGAAAATGAAATAAAGCCGCTGGACGTAACTTCTCGGGATCTTCCAAAAAGTCCACTGTAAAAGTCTCAGTAAATTACCACAATTTTACTGAGATTATACTTCATCCCATATCATCTCATCTCATTTCATTTCGTTTTCATTTCATTTCATGCCATGTTTCATAATAATCAACTTCATTTCATTTCATAATATCATTTTTCATATAAGAAAGTTATCATTAAAATTATAATAAGACTTGACCTAAATGTCTTAGTTACCAGGTCATAAAATCCCTTAAAAAAGTTATACTATACTCTTTGTAATTATACTATTTTTACAATAGGTTAGTACTTTTTACCTGATAGCCTCTTCTTTATAACAATACGACAGTGTGTATTCCCTAACAAGAGTCGCAAGGGAGGTAAATTAGCCGAAGCCGCGCCGTGGGCTTTGGCTTCTATGCGAGCGCTCTGCCATTCCAGCTCCTGAAAGAACATTCACAACTTCTCAATATTTTTAAAACATCCCAAAATAATATTACGCAGCGATTTCTTGACTACTCGCGCCGCATTTGTGATGGTACTTAGCTGCAAATAGGTTATAATGAAGAGTCCTGTGTTACACATTTAAAAAAACACGTGTAGCACTCGGGGACTGCCGCGGTAAAGCTACTGCATAGCATTTTTTATCAACTTATGCAATTATAATCAGACAGTAATAATTTAATATTAAAACAATAATAAAGTAAGACCACGCTATATTTATAAACATTAACAAAAGCAAAACATCAACTGTCCCCTTCACACTCATAAGCGCGAGAGAGAGAGATGGGCAGAATTTTCATAATGCGCATGAAGTGCGACGTCACGCCGCGCAGTTATTCACAAACACACACAAGCGCAACATGTGAATGTGTTGAACGCGAGCTACATGGTAGGCGGAGTGAGGGTGTTACGTTTTATTTTCGTTACGGAATTTCTTGATTCGGTCGCCGCGCTCAAAGCCCGCGATAAAAGCGATGCAATAGCTTAAAACATGATCTATAAATACCTTAAAAATAAGTAGTTGTCCCGTATCAGTACATTTGATTCTAGTCAGTCTTAGATCCCCTTTCCGACCGTCTGGAGTGCGTGACTCAACGGTCACCCTTGAAATCTGTAAAGCGAATGGCTGTTTAATATTCTACCCACGGATAAAGGAACACCTAATTCAGAAGATATGATTCAACGACCAGAATATCGAACCGCAAGACATCTTTAATTCCCTTTATTCACTGATGTAGTTTAGATAGGGTTTTCTTTACTTCCCGGGCAGCTGTGTATCGCGTTCCGACCCGGCAGGCTGGTAGGGCTGCCGTACTGCGGAGACCGGCGTCGTTGGTCGTCGACTATCGCCTCGACGACCCGTCGGTCGGGCGTCCTCAGGGTGGCGCCGCGTGTCTGGTTGTAGTGTTGACCGCGGGAACCCCCTTACTCTGACCGGGTTATGACCCGGGACGGAGATCGAATGTCGGGTGTAAGAGTGCAGGGGAGTCGTTTAGTGCGGTAGGGCCCTAAAACTCCTTGGGCCCGCGATCTGCTCCTAACATTAACAGATCGTCAATCCCACATACCCCGCCCGTCCCTTAGGCGCAGGGCCCTCGTAAGAGTTTCGGCCCCGGCCCGAAAAAAAAAGGGTTTTCTTTACTTTCGTTAACCATTTGGAACTGTCATCCCGCTACATATCATTGAAGTTAAATAAATGATTTAATGTAATTATTGTAATAACGTACTTGAACACTACTGGTGAACGCATCACAGTTGAAGTCTATTTGTACATGATTCACAGCCACTGAGATTCCGTCTATCACCTGAAACGAACCAAAACAAAATACATAGTTTTAGGATATGTCATATTTATCTATGCTTTATTTTATCTTTTCAGTATTTCAATATACAACTATTTATTGTAAGCCTTTTAAAAAATAGCCATTTTCAAGTTAATGAGAATTTCACCTTCCACATTGAAGGAATAACATTGCGTAATAAAAAAGGAAACCTGCAAACTCTGTAGGTAGGTGAAAGGTAATTCAGCGTATGTGAGTTCCATTGGGATTGTTATTTTACAATAAAAACTGAGACTTGAGATAACATGGCCCTGATTAGTGCAATATATTGATACCCGTTTTGATAAACTATTATACCCCATCGTTTCACTTGTCTTAAATTTAAAATTAAGGCTGAGATAGTTTTACTTCAATGAACGAGATAAATAATGCAAAATGTATTTCTCAATACAAAGTAATAATGTAGAGAAACTATGAACACATTCAAATTTCTTTGTAATATTTGTGTAGATAATATTTTATCTAAATAGTTTATCGTTCAAATATTTAAGCTCTAGATTATCTAATTTTATATTTGTTCCAATATTTATCTAAAATAGTTCATATGTTACCTTGTGTATATAACTATATTTTCCTGGAACAGGTAAAGCACCGGCCGCACTCGGATTCATAACCCGAGGTTCCGAACATACCTCCAGAGCTATATGGACTTCGTCTAGATTCTGAAAAACAACAAACACTTGTCTATTTGACCTTGAAGTTTACTAACAATACATTTTACGTGTTCTAGCAATTTGTTGTACACAAAAACTCTGTAATACTAAGGTTGAGCACATAAAAAAAGCACTTAACATGTAACAATTTTTTTTTGTAATATTGATGTCGCTAACTTAATACTTATTTTGTAATGAATCATGATTTGTAATGTATTTTTTTATTGTCGTATGCAGTGTAATAGTAAAAACGAGATGACCTGATCATCGCAAGCAATTCTTCAGAGCACATATCATGACACATATGTTAAAAGACAGTGATTTTAAAAAACGACGACGACGCTTGCAGCTGAAAGTAAGTATTGTACTTTTTGACGAAGCATGTTGCTGATAACTTTATTTCTGTAATCTGACGAAGCATGTTGCGGATAATAACATGTACTTTTAGGTTAGGAATATTGTGTTTTTTTTTTTATAATAAATAAATTTAAATATTAAAAAATTAAAATATTTTAAATAAAAAAAAAAAAATGTATAAATTTTAAAAAAAGAGTACATGTATACTTTTTATTGTTGCTGTGCTGTGTTGGTGTGTACTTTGACCAACTATGATTATAAATCAAAAACTTTTCATTTTCATAATAGAGAATATTGCATACTAACAAACACTAAATTTGAAGAGTTGAAGGCTAACACTATGTTGCTAACTAATTCAGTAAGCTGTAACTCTGATATGCATTATTCATTACTTGTCAGTATTTATGCATGAATCTACCTGCATGTTTTTAATGAATTAGTCTTGTTGTGTTATGTCCTTGATAGTTTGTTTTTGTTATAATTTAAGAATGCCGTCTGTCTGTGTATTAGAGTTTTAGTCAGATAATAATAACACAGAACTACAATATTCGATACATCAGTACATATAGAATCATAGCATACCTTCCATATTTATTAAAATAATAACAATATGAACAGTGAATAAATATATATATCATATTGGCTAGGTGATGACTTCTGAAGAGTGGCCAGCAAGAGATGTAAGAGAGTTGAAGACTGGGCTCAGTGGTGTGAATTGGGATTGTTCTATGTCCAGTAGTGAGCGACTGTGGGCTGATGATGATCATATATATTACATTATACTTAAAATATTATTTATTGGGAATAACTAAAGAATATGTTGCAAATAGTTGTTATATGTTTTTGTTAATTTCTAAATAATTTTAATGCTAAATACACATTATAAAATGTAATTATTCATAAAAAAAATCTAATATTTGGGTACTAAAGATTTCACTGGGAGTGATCTGTTTCATTAACGCACTACCAAATCAAGTCTAGAGGGTAAAGATGCCCTTAATTATTACTCATTGAAATGACTTTTACCAGTACAATGGGCACAGTCTTCAGTTTGGTCCATTGTATCCTGAAAGATGCTCGATTGCATTTAGCAGATGTGAGCCGCAGCCATCCTGGTAGTTCTAGGAGATCAGTAAGTAAATCTTCATCGAGGGTCAAGTCTTGGAGTTCACCGGAACCTCGAAGTGCCGATAGTGAGATTTGCTCCGGTGATAAGTTTTTTGTGAACCTAATCACATTGAATTCTTCATATTATCATTTTTATCGAAATTCGTATAAGGTATAAAAGTAAGCTAGTTTTGTTTACTTTCAGGTTTGCAGAATATTGCAACCTGGTTCATAACTATGGATTTTAAATTTTGTATGGTTTCTGACAAGAGAATCTGAAGAAACAAAGGAAATAAAAATATGTCACTTGAATTTTAAAACTACTCATATTATGTGAGTATATAGTTAAGTTAAATTATTATCATGTAATGAGATTAAAATCATAGTTTAATTAGAAAATTTGTTTAATGTGTGCCTATTTAGTTAATTGCATATTTTTCTGGTTTAGTTTCTGACACATACCTGGATAGATGTTTTAATAACTGGTTTTTTATTATAGTCACCATTTTTTTAAAGCAGAAAGTAATAATAAATGAAATTCATAGAAACATTATTTTCCAAAAGAATAATAAGGTCCTATTCAATGATAAGAACCTGAGATTGAATGAATGATTAAAAGTGAAATTGTACTGAATGAGTTACGGTAACTAATCAAATTGTGATTTGAAAATGTCAAACTCAAATATCAAGAGATGAGCTAAACAGTGAGACTACGAAACAGAAAAGTCGATTTCTATGATAAAGTCGATTGAAAGCCATTAAATTTGCCTAAATATACCATAACCATTTTTTTGGAACAACGTCTTATTAATCTTGTTATTCTTCACAAAATTAACACTGCTAAAGCTCTCGGTCGTGACTCATTATGAACAACATCGTTATTGTGTTATTTAGGTTTGGTTGCTAGGGACTTTATCGATTTTAAAAACAAAGGACACTGAAGATATGTATGTTACTTTTACGCTAATAATATAAAAATCACAATGTTTTTCATTAATGACTGGCTGTATGATAAGGAAAATTATCAGTGACAGTCGAAATTTAAATATTAGCAATGTGTCAAAACTTTTATGTCCATCAATGAAACAATTCAATTTTTATAAGTATTTGTAAATTGTAAATTTTGTGAGATTTTTTGCGAAGTGAATAGATTAGTGAGGAACTGGCTTAATTTGAGCAAATATTTAAATGTATAATTGCTACAAGTAAACTGACAGGAGCTTCCGTTTTTAGGTAAGTTTATTTCTACTTTACGTTGTGATACATTTTAGAAGTGAGTGATAGATACAGTTTAGATAAATTGTCATTATAAAATTTAGTAGATTTAAAAGTATGGTTATTGTTAACAATTTGAATTTTGTTTCATAACAAAGATTACCGCATATATGTACTTCAAAATTTGACCCGATGATTATTTGCTCGTATAATACTCGGCAAACTTCTTGAGCATTAGTTGACGTAGTGGGGGTAAGTTCGCGCATCGTACAATTACGTACAAAAATGTTATTAAGTTATTAAAAACAACATAATATTTATTTATTTATATATTTATTAGTACATGAACAAAAAATACAGGTTAATAATTGTAGTAATTTAATCTAGGGGTAAAATAGATATTCCTTCCATTAGGTCAAAACTAGAGCTGGTGCCAGGTCTTGGATCAGCTGAAGCTGAGCTGGTATTTGTAATTGTTTTTTCGCTATCATAATCATGACCATCATCATCATCACTANTGGATTTGCGACTTCACAGTACGAAAGTACACAACGCTATGAAGATCAAAGATGGCTGCGCTTCCTTTATACTTGCTGGCAGCACCTAGCGGCTAAAGATGGAACTAAATTGACTGTCTATGGTTGGACATAGACAAGGAATTTAAGCTAAGTACACACTGCTTCTTCATAATACAATGCTGTATGTTTTCCAAAGGCACATCAATACATACTTATCAAATGTTTACAATTGACTTCCGCAGTGAAGGAATAACATTCTGTAGTAAAAATCAAACCCTCAAAATTATAATTTGCGTGGTAGGACCTCTTGTGTGTCCGCACCGGTAGGTGCAACCACCTTGCCTATTTCTGTTATGAAGCAGTAATGCGTTTCGGTTTTAAGAATTCGGCAGCTGTTGTAACTATACTGAAATCTTACAACTTATATCTTAAGGTAGGTGGCGACATTTAAACCGTAGATGTCTATTTGCTCCGATAACCACTTAACACCAGGTGGGCCATGAGCTTTATATTAGTAGATGTGAACTTGCCTTCCTAAGCGCCTTAGCCCTGGTGGCGGCGGCGGTGGCCCGGCGCACGGGCTGCGCGAGGGCGGCGGCGCAGGCCAGCGCGGCGCGGAGCTGCCCGTCGGTGAGCGCCCACGCCACGGGCTCCGGGCAGATGGCCAATCGGGATGCTATCACCGCACAATCTGAACAGTTGAAGGTCGCTCTCTCAGTCTATGTCCAAGGTTCGACTTTTTGCTTTAAGGTTTTGGCATGATATTGTTTATTTGCGGTTAAGGGAGATATTGTTTTTCGCATCGAAGAAAAATCTTATTGTATCAATTAGGTAGTTACAGGAATTAATAACATTAAATACAGCAAGACTATTATCAACACTAATAACTATAGTACACATTTATTAAGAACTAAACAATAAATACCATTCATTCAATCAATATATTAATATATTATCTGTGGTCTTCGAATAGTGTTTCAATATTCACGCGTCTAATAACATCTTTAGTTTAGTTGGTACAAAATTATACAATTTTTTTTTTTTTTTGGTCAGGAGGAAATCGCCGGACTTCCGCCCTCCACTGGGGACGGCGGGCGGAGCATGTCGGAGTCGAGCCGACTAAAACCTTCTGTCGCTCAACAACCAACGTCCAAACCTCACATGAGACAGAACTCATGAAAAGGCAAAGGGGGGAAAGTGAAGTGTTTAGTGCGGAGCACATCTCTTCCATTACCCTCCCCCTCGGGACGCCGGACTGGCGGTCGTCGGCGCCACGACCACCAGCCCTCTCGGTTGGCAGGCTATCCGGAGCCCGCCTAGATGGCGCCGGTTAGAGTGAGCTATCCTACGGAATACCCCGCTGGGTTAGAACCAGCGTGGGTCGAGGATAGCCGGCCTTCCATCACCCGGATGCTCTTGCGTAAAACGCGTGCAGAGCAGCTTGCACGACGTCTTCTTAGGTCCCACTCGCCGGTCCCCAGACCGACATATGAGGGGGACCCGAAACAAAATTATACTATACGGACTTTTTGGCGTGAACGCGAGGAGTGATGTTCTGTGATTTATTTTATTTTGTCTAATTAGTGTTTCTTCAGGTTTAAATGTGTAATAACGGAGGTTTATTAACCATTTAGGATCTGTGCACAAATGTGGGAAAATGAAATAAAGCCGCTGGACGTAACTTCTCGGGATCTTCCAAAAAGTCCACTGTAAAAGTCTCAGTAAATTACCATAATTTTACTGGGATTATACTTCATCCCATATCATCTCATCTCATTTCATTTCGTTTTCATTTCATTTCATGCCATGTTTCATAATAATCAACTTCATTTCATTTCATATTATCATTTTTCATATAAAAAAGTTATCATTAAAATTAAAATAAGACGACCTAAATGTCTTAGTTACCAGGTCATAAAATCCCTTAAAAAAATTATACTATACTCTTTGTTATTATACTATTTTTACAATAGGTTAGTACTTTTTACCTGATAGCCTCTTCTTTATAACAATACGACAGTGTGTATTCCCTAACAAGAGTCGTAAGGGAGGTAAATTAGCCGAAGCCGCGCCGTGGGCTTTGGCTTCTATGCGAGCGCTCTGCCATTCCAGCTCCTGAAAGAACATTCACAACTTCTTAATATTTTTAAAACATCCCAAAATAATATTACGCAGCGATTTCTTGACTACTCGCGCTGCATTTGTGATGGTACTTAGCTGCAAATAGGTTATAATGAAGAGTCCTGTGTTACACATTTAAAAAAACACGTGTAGCACTCGGGGACTGCCGCGGTAAAGCTATTGCATAGCATTTTTTATCAACTTATGCAATTATAATTAGACAGTAATAATTTAATGTTAAAACAATAATAAAATAAGACCACGCTATATTTATAAACATTAACAAAAGCAAAACATCAATTGTCCCCTGCACATTCATAAGCTAGACCGCGCGAGAGAGAGAGATGGGCAGAATTTTCATAATGCGCATGCAGTGCGACGTCACGCCACGCAGTTATTCACGAACACAGACAAGCGCAACATGTGAATGTGTTGAACGCGAGCCAAAGAGTATATAATCACTACGTTATACGCGAGCTACATGGTAGGCAGCGTGGGGGTGTTACGTTTTATTTTCGTTACGGAATTTCTTGATTCGGTCGCCGCGCTCAAAGCCCGCGATAAAAGCGATGCAATAGCTTAAAACATGATCTATAAATACCTTAAAAATAAGTAGTTGTCCCGTATCAGTACATTTGATTCTAGTCAGTCTTAGATCCCCTTTCCGACCGTCTGGAGTGCGTGACTCAACGGTCACCCTTGAAATCTGTAATAGCGAATGGCTGTTTAATATTCTACCCACGGATAAAGGAACATCTAATTCAGAAGATATGATTCAACGACCAGAATATCGAACCGCAGCAATGTCTTTCTTTAATTCCCTTTATTCACTGATGTAGTTTAGATAGGGTTTTCTTTACTTCCCGGTCAGCTGTGTATCTCGTTCCGACCTGGCAGGCTGGTTCTGGCCCAGCGGGGTATACCGGACCACCAGCGGCATCGCCCAGGCGGCCTGGTAGGGCTGCCGTACTGCGGAGACCGGCGTCGTTAGCCGTCGACTATCGCCTCGACGACCCGCCGGTCGGGCGTCCTCGGGGTGGCGCCGCGTGTCTGGTTCTAGTGTTGACCGCGGGAACCCCCCTACTCTGACCGGGTTCTGACCCCGGACGGAGATTGGATGTCGGTTGTAAGAGTGCACGGGAGTCGTTTAGTGCGGTAGGGCCCTAAAACTCCTTGGGTCCACGAGCTGCTCCCAACATCAACAGATCGTCAATCCCACATACCCTACACGCCCCCTAGGCGCAGGGACGTGGTAGGAGTTTCGGCCCCCGGCCCGAAAAAAAAGGGTGTTCTATTTGGAACTGTCATCCTGCTAGATATCACTGAAGTTAAATAAATTATTTAATGTAATTATTGTATTAACGTACTTGAACACTACTGGTGAACGCATCACAGTTGAAGTCTATTTGTACATGATTCACAGCCACTGAGATTCCGTCTATCACCTGAAATGAACCAAAACATAAGGATATGACATATTTATCTATGCTTTATTTTATCTTTTCAGTATTTCAATATACAAATATTTAATATAAACCCAGTACTTGTCTAGAAATAAATTTCAGGTCTAAATAAAAAAATAGCCATTTTCAAGTTAATGAGAATTTCACCTTCCACATTGAAGGAATATCATTGCATAATAAAAAAGGAAACCTGCAAACTCTGTAGGTAGGTGAAAGGTAATTACCACCATTCAGCCTATTTGAGTTCCATTGGGATTGTTATTTTACAATAAAAATTGAGACTTGAGATAACATGGCCCTGATTAGTGCAATATATTGATACCCGTTTTGATAAACTATTATACCCCATCGTTTCAAATGTCTTAAATTTAAAATTAAGGCTGAGATAGTTTTACTTCAATGAACGAGATAAATAATGCAAAAGGTATTTCTCAATACAAAGTAATAATGTAGAGAATCTATGAACACATTCAAATTTCTTTGTAATATTTGTGTTGATAATATTTTATCTAAATAGTTTATCGTTCAAATATTTAAGCTCTACATTATCAAATTTTTATATTTGTTCCAATATTTATCTAAAATAGTTCATATGTTACCTTGTGTATATAACTATATTTTCCTGGAACAGGTAAAGCACCGGCCGCACTCGGATTCATAACCCGAGGTTCTGAACATACCTCCAAAGCTATATGGACTTCGTCTAGATTCTGAAAAACAACAAACACTTGTCTATTTGACCTTGAAGTTTACTAACAAAACATTTTACGTGTTCTGGCAATTTGTTGTACACAAAAACTCTGTAATATTAAGGTTGAGCACATAAAAAAAGCACTTAACATGTAACACAGTTTTTTTGTAATATTGATGTCGCTAACTTAATACTTATTTTGTAATGAATCATGATTTGTAATGTATTTTTTTATTGTCGTATGCAGTGTAATAGTAAAAACGAGATGACCTGATCATCACAAGCAATTCTTCAGAGCACACATCATGACACATATGTTAAAAGACAGTGATTTTAAAAAAAGAGTACATCTATACTTTTTATTGTTGCTGTGCTGTGTTGGTGTGTACTTTGACCAACTATGATTATAAATCAAAAACTTTTCATTTTCATAATGAGAATATTGCATACTAACAAACACTAAATTTGAAGAGTTGAAGGCTAACACTATGTTGCTAACTAATTCAGTAGACTGTAACTCTGATATGCATTATTCATTACTTGTCAGTATTTATGCATGAATCTACCTGCATGTTTTTAATGTATTAGTCTTGTTATGTTATGTCCTTGATAGTTTGTTTTTGTTATAATTTAAGAATGCCGTCTGTCTGTGTATTAGAGTTTTAGTTAGATAATATTAATACAGAACTACAATATTTGACACATCAGTACATATAGAATCATAGCATACCTTCCATATTTATTAAAATAACAACAATATGAACAATGAATAAATATATATATCATATTGGCTAGGTGATGACTTCTGAAGAGTGGCCAGCGAGAAGTGTAAGAGAGTTGAAGACTGGGCTCAGTGGTGTGAATTGGGAGTGTTCTATGCCCAGTAGTGAGCGACTGTGGGCTGATGATGATCATATATATTACATTATACTTAAAATATTATTTATTGGGAATAACTAAAGAATATGTTGCAAATAGTTGTTATGTGTTTTTGTTAGTTTCTAAATAATTTTAATGCTAAATACAAATTATAAAATGTAGTTATTCATAAACAAATTCTAATATTTGGGTAATAAAGATTTCACTGGGAGTGATCCGTTTTATTAACGCACTACCAAATCAAGTCTAGAGGGTAAAGATGCCCTTAATTATTACTCATTGAAATGACTTTTACCAGTACAATGGGCACAGTCTTCAGTTTGGTCCATTGTATTCTGAAAGATGCTCGATTGCATTTAGCAGATGTGAGCCGCAGCCATCCTGGTAGTTCTAGGAGATCAGTAAGTAAATCTTCATCGAGGGTCAAGTCTTGGAGTTCACCGGAACCTCGAAGTGCCGATAGTGAGATTTGCTCCGGTGATAAGTTTTTTGTGAACCTAATCACATTGAATTCTTCACATTATCATTTTAATTGAAATTCGTATAAGGTATAAAAGTAAGCTAGTTTTGTTTACTTTCAGGTTTGCAGAATATTGCAACCTGGTTTATAGCTATGGATTTTAAATTTTGTATGGTTTCTAACAAGAGAATCTGAAGAAACAAAGGAAATAAAAATATGTCAGTTGAATTTTAAAACTACTCATATTATGTGAGTATATAGTTAAGTTAAATTATTATCATGTAATGAGATTAAAATCATAGTTTAATTAGAAAATTTGTTTAATGTGTGCCTATTTAGTTAATTGCATATTTTTCTGGTTTAGTTTCTGACACATACCTGGATAGATGTTTTAATAACTGGTTTTTTATTATAGTCACCATTTTTTTTAAGCAGAAAGTAATAATAAATGAAATTCATAGAAACATTATTTTCCAAAAGAATAATAAGGTCCTATTCAATGATAAGAACCTGAGATTGAATGAATGATTAAAAGTGAAATTTTATCATAGACCTATATAGTAAATTTTACTGAATGAGTTACGGTAACTAATCAAATTGTGATTTGAAAATGTCAAACTCAAATATCAAGAGATGAGCTAAACAGTGAGACTACGAAACAGAAAAGTCGATTTCTATGATAAAGTCGATTGAAAGCCATTAAATTTGCCTAAATATACCATAACAATTTTTTTGGAACAACATCTTATTAATCCTGTTATTCTTCACAAAATTAACACTGCTAAAGCTCTCGGTCGTGACTCATTATGAACAACATCGTTATTGTGTTATTTAGGTTTGGTTGCTAGGGACTTTATCGATTTTAAAAACAAAGGACACTGAAGATATGTTACTTTTACGCTAATAATATAAAAATCACAATGTTTTTCATTAATGACTGGCTGTATGATAAGGAAAATTATCAGTGACAGTCGAAATTTAAATATTAGCAATGTGTCAAAACTTTTATGTCCATCAATGAAACAATTCAATTTTTATAAGAATTTGTAAATTGTAAATTTTGTGAGATTTTTTGCGAAGTGAAGATTAGTGAGGAACTGGCTTAATTTGAGCAAATATTTAAATGTATAATTGCTACAAGTAAACTGACAGGAGCTTCCGTTTTTAGGTACGTTTATTCCTACTTTACGTTGTGATACATTTTAGAAGTGAGTGATAGATACAGTTTAGATAAATTGTCATTATAAAATTTAGTAGATTTAAAAGTATGGTTATTGTTAACAATTTGAATTTTGTTTCATGACAAAGATTACCGCATATATGTACTTCAAAATTTGACCCGATGATTATTTGCTCGTAACTTAATTTATTTTTGCGTCTATCTTAAAATATTTTATCCACATTTGGAGTTCCGCAGAACGGTTGTAATTTTCGCCGTCACCGTATCTATTATCAAATGCTATGTTCACGCTTTAAATATATTATTTTAATTAATTATATCGACGGGTGAAAGACTATTTGGTTTAAGCGACATTTTTGCAAATTTACAAGAGAGCCGTTTAATATTTAAAATTTGGAAAAAATATCATAACAAAAAAACTTCTTTAGCTATTTACTTAAATGGAGTAAGCTTCATTGAAGTTCAATTAAAACATTGAATTGTTGATACTAATACCAAATAAAATGGACCTTTAATTACAAAGATAATTGTCACTTATTAAGAGAAATGTCGCTTAAACCAAATAGTCTTTCACCCATCGACTTAAACAAATATGTATTCACGAATTTGTAATTTTTTAGCAGCCGTTAGATAGCACGCTTCCCACAATGTCACGCCGAGAGAGTATTATAGAAGTCAGAGATTATATCGACACAAAAAATTCATCGGGCGATTCTAAAGGTGTAAAAACTAAAATACAGGAAGAGAACAATAACGAAATAGATGAACTGTCGAAAGAATTCACGGAAATGGGATGCATAGTCGACGCCGTGAAACGACCTCCGAACGTTTGCGTTGAGACTTGTGTTTACGAATCAAAAGATGATGAGAAAACCGAAAGATATTACACGGATGACGAAGACGCTTATTCAGATGAGTTCGAAGATGATAAGAGTGAAGAGGAAGTGTCTATTGAAACAGTAGAGAGAGTGACTAAAAGCGAAACGACCCGTGGACCCAGTCAGACATGTGTGAACTTGACAAAAAGCCAGTCTTTAATGTCCACTAATAAACCCAATTCGATTTCTGGAAGATCTACTAACTATGGGTAAGGACAAAATTAGAAAATAGCAAAAAAAATTAGAAACGATATTTAGATTTTATATCAATAGGCTAGTTTTCAATTCGTATGTATTTTTTCACACCTCAATATACACTAAGCCTACAGCCGTACACTGCTGAATTTAAGTCCCGGCAAAGTTTGTTCCAAGATGCTCCGATCCTGCTCGGATCCTAATCAGGTCGTCGGCAAATATCAGAATATGTAATTTAAAATGTAGATTACATTCTCGGATAAGTTAAGATGACGCGAGGCTAAAATAATATTTTCATACTTTGTGACTTAATTAAGCTATTGCATAGCTTCTATCGCGGGATTTGAGCGCGGCGACTGATTCAAGAAATTCCGTAACGAAAATAACCTGACACCCCCACTACACCTACTATATAGCTCGCGTTCAACACATTCACACGTTGCGCTGGTGTAGTGTTTGTGAATAAGCGCGCGGCGTGACGTCGCACTGCATGAGCATCATGAAAAGTATGCCCATCTCTCTCTCACGCGGTCTAGCTTATGAGTGTGAAGGGGACAGTTAATGTTTTGCTTTTGTTAATGTTTATAAATATAGCGTGGTCTTATTTTTATTATTGTTTTAATATTAAATTATTATTGTCTAATTGTAATTGCATAAGTTGATAAAAAATACTTTGCAATAGCTTTACCGCGGCAGTCCCCGAGTGCCACACGTCTTTTTTTTTCTTGATAGTGGCAGATAAGAGAACCTTTTTTATGTAACTTGAAACTTTATTACGGGTACTTCAATTTTCGGATACAGAATTATATTCAACTTTTGAAAAACAAAAGTAGCAACCCTACGATGCAGTTTTTTATGCCATAATCGGTTTACTTCAATGTTTTTTTACAGCTCTATTTCAGTGCCTCAAACGCGGCGTATTAACATGTCTTTCTCTAACGAGAGACTACGAGAGATTGAGAGGCACAATCACATTTTGCTAACTAAAATACTAAGCGCTAGGAATTCGAAGAAGTCTTCAGTTCCAGCAAGAGATCCGCCGACAAGGAGGCCGATTCCTCCTGCTGCGGTTTTAAGGAAAAACCAACAAAGAAAGATCGATCATGACAACCTGGTGAGTTTTCTAAAAGGAACGAAAATGATTTAAAGGAATGTAATAGTGTGCACAGTTAGATTTTTAGCTCAAGCGGAAGTCGTCGTGGCCTAAAGGATAAGTTGAAGTCGTCGTGGCCTAAAGAATAAGACGTCTGGTGCATTCGTGTTGAAGCGATGCACCGGTGTTCGAATCCCGCAGGTGGGTACCAATTTTTCTAATGAAATACGTACTCAACAAATGTTCACGATTGACTTCCACGGTGAAGGAATAACATCGTGTAATAAAAATCAAACCCGCAAAATTATAATTTGCGTAATTACTGGTGGTAGGACCACTTGTGAGTCCGCGCGGATAGGTACTACCGCCCTGCCTATTTCTGCCGTGAAGCAGTAATGCGTTTTGGTTTGAAGGGTGTGACAGCCGTTGTAACTATACTGAGACTTGTATCTCAAGGTGGGTGGCGCATTTACGTTGTAGATGTCTACGGGCTCCAGCAATCACTTAACACCAGGTGGGCTGTGACCTCGTCCACCCACTAAGCAATAAAAAAAATTTTTTTTTTTTATAAATCTGGTAAAATCTATAACAAGCAGAATTAAAAGTACTTTTATGCTTTTATGACAAGTTTTTACTGTCGTATTATTTCCAATTAGTATAGTAATCCGTGGAGACCACAACGACTGTGAATCGTTGGTACTTCCAACTATAGGAAACGTCGGAAATAAAACGATAACAGTGAAAAACGCGAGATCAAACCGTAACAGTAGTTTTTATTATATCTAGGACTTTTGAATGCCGAAAAAAATAAATAAAATAAGACAGAAATTAAGATAATGAAGAATGGCCGGTTGTAAGTAATGGGTATTTGAAATGATTGTTTCATAGAAGTGGTCTACTATAGGAAGGCGTCTTAAATGGTCAAAATACCTTAAATTACTTTAAATTCGATCTCAGGAGGGGTTACTTTATTAAAGAAGTCAAATTGAAAAGCCTTTGGAAATTCATAATTTTTTCATTCATAACTTCATTCTTAATAAAAAAAAATATTTGGTCTGTCTTCCTTTTAATGCGAACCATGTTACCTAATTGAAGTTTTTAGAGACAAAAACTCATTTGTGTTGTGTTATGACAGATCCTTTTGAAAAAAATTCAGCGCGCCAAATCGTCTGCCTGCAGCATCCGTCGTTGATATTCAGAAAGCGTCCGATGTGCGGGCGCATTTATTATTAATTTATTTTTATTAAAAACGAAACGTGTGATATTGTTAATAAATTTACTATATGACTTTCCATTCATTGTTTTTAATTTTTCCATAGTAACATTGTGCTGGGTGAGTTCTTCTATTATTGTTGAAGTTGATGAGATGTCTTTAACCTCAGACTCGAGCCTCTACTATTTTATTTTTATTTTCACACAGCATGGATTCGCTAATCAAGTCAATTATTAGTTTTTTTAGGTCTGAAGGATTACTGGTGGCCCGGAGGCCTTTCCAGTTTCACTAGGACAGGTGGGCGAACAAAGCTTCAGGCCAGGAGGGGTGGGATTTGCAAACAGCTGCCCGAGCGCCTCCGAAGGAGACCTAACAACTCAAGAGCAACTGCTTCGCGAATGAATCCACTACCGGATCGGTGTCGTGATCTGCCGAGAAGATCCGGCAATAAACTAAGTGGGCTGATGCATGGGTTAGGTTGCACGTCGAACTCGACAAAGAGTTCGACGAGTACGGTTACCGGGGTCCCTAAGCCTTCTAGTGTTAGAGCTGAAGCCGTCTAATGCAAAGGGATCTGATAGATTCGGAAGGACTTAAATTATTTGAGTTTTTTTTATATATATATATATATTTTTTTTATGATTGAAGGATTACTGGTGGCCCGGAATCCTTTCCAGTTTCACCAGGATAGGTGGGCATGCAAAGGCTCAGCCAGGAGGGGTGGGATTTGCTAACAGCTACCCGACCCATAGACAATTATTGGAGTCTAGTAGTGTCGATTGTATTGTATAATAATCCAAGTACCGGGCATCGACTTTCAAAGTACACGTAAATGCTATATACATTGCGGGTTTGATTTTTACACGATGTTGTTTCTTCACCTCTGGAGATAACAGGACAAACTAGATCTATCTATTGAAGCAATGGAGATAAATCATTTACGGCCATGATCCTCATAAGTGCTGGGGCGACAAAAAGTGCCTTCAAATCGAAAAAAGTTGGTTGGATATTCCGGAATTAAATTTAACTACAGTAATATAAAATTTTCCACCTACCGCTGTTTTTATTACACATTAAAGTATCTTTAAACTTGTTTACGAATGAGTCAGTTTTTTAAGCTGAATGAAGAAATGTTATAGTAGTTTTTATTGATATAGTAATAAAATGTAAAGATGTTTTGAATGTTTGCACATTTTTTAAAAGTGAAAATCGTATGATACGTTTTGTGTTCGGTTTTCGCGATTCGTGGATAAAATTTAAACTATTACGGTTCAATCTCGGTTTTTATTGACATTTTTTTATAGCGGACGTTTCAAATACTCCACAGTTTTTGTGGTCACGGACGATTAAGATATCATTTAGTCGACATTTGAAAACAACGTGCTAAGCTTGAGAGATGTATAAAATTACGCTCCTTTCTTAGCTTATGTGTACTTTACAGTTTTCATGGTCACGAAGGTTTTATTTATTTTTTATTGCTTAAATGGGTGGACGAGCTCACAGCCCACCTGGTGTTAAGTGGTTACTGAAGCCCATAGACATCTACAACGTAAATGCGCCACCCACCTTGAGATATAAGTTCGAAGGTCTCAAGTATAGTTACAACGGCGGCCACGCCCTTCAAATCGAAACGCATTACTGCTTCACGGCAGAAATAGGCAGGGTGGTGGTATCTACCCGCGCGGACTCACAAGAGGTCCTACCACCAGTAACATGGTGAGCTAGTTATTTTACAATTTTGGTACTCACAGCCGGTATTAGAATTTTGTCGTATCATTAAGCGGTAATCACTCATTATAATATTGTGCCAGAGTTATTAACTTATTTTCTAGAGCTATAAATGTAGTGATGACTTTTTGCCCTGATTGAAAAGACAGCTTCTTTAATTTATGAATACATAAATTCCATTTTAAATAATTACTTTATTGTAAACACGTCCGCTTTATCAGAAGAATCACTGGTGGTACAATGCGATCTTTGACATTGTATCTCTCACATTCCTATCGTATTTCTCTTTGATGTTAACATACCTACTAGTAATTATAAAGGATTCTTTATTAATTTATTGCGTTAGATGGGTAGTCGAACTCAAAGACGGGTATAGCACTGAAGAACATTGAATCGCTAAAAATGCGCACTGCTTCGTCAGTGGCGCATCTATTCCCGTATAAATATCTCTTATCTATAGGGTTAAAGAAGATAAAGTTTGTTTTAATCGCACAGAGTTTGTCGTAAACATAGTTGTTTATTATACTATTATTATTTTATTATATAACTAGCTGACCCGGCAGACTTCGTAGTGCCTTAATCGATAAATAAAAGACCTAAAGTTTTGTATAAAATAAATTCAAAACAAACAAAAGAAATTCGTCCGACAGGGGACACATAAAAGGAAAAACAAAATTGTTATTTTTATTTAATTCCGAGCATTCTCATATTTATCTACCTTTTAAACCTTCTCTGGACTTCCATAAATAATTCAAGACCAAAATTAGCCAAATCGGTCCAGCCGTTCTCGAGTTTTAGCGAGACTAACGAACAGCAATTCATTTTTATATATAGAGATTTTGTAGATATAGGCGTAGAGCGTCGAACGTTCTTCTGGCTACGTAGGTCACATATTTTTTTACAATTTCTGGGAATTAGCAATAACTATAAATATCTGTTGCTTTTGTGATTATTACGTACTTTTCGTATCGAATGTTTTCTCTAATCGATTTCCTCAATGATCGATTACCATCATTAAAAGTAAAAAACATACTAAATATCAAATGCTACCGCTAAACCGAGGCAGCTATTATGGATCAACAATTGTTCATAACAACAATTATTTTTACCAAATAACAAGCACAAAACAAACACGTAATTACAACGTGTGGGCAACCATATTTCATGGAAAAGATAACCATTGATAACGGAATATAAGTATACGGATAGTGACCAAAAACAACTTTGACAACTAATTATATTTTCCCGAGCTAACAAGCCCAACAACCTACTTTCGTTCGAACTTTTAACTCCTTTAGAATAATAAACCTTAGAACCTTTTAATCCTTAGATTAGTGAACGAGATCACGCTCCATCTGGTTAAGTGGTCATCGGAGCCCAAAGACATACAACGTAAGCGCCAATCACGCTTAACATGAGTTTTACGTCAGTGTTACAGTACAACGGCAGTCCCAGTCTTCAAACAGAAACGCATTACTGCTTCGCGACTACTGCTACACAATACAATTGAAGCTTCGAAAAGTGGTTTACTGGTGGTAGGACCTCTTGTGAATCCGCGCGGGTGGGTACCACCACTCTGTCTATTTCTGCCGTGAAGCAGCAATGCGTTTCGGTTTGAAGGGTGGGACAGCCGTTGTAACGAAACTTGAGACCTTAGAACTTATATCTCAAGGTGGGTGGCGCATTTACGTTGTGGGTGTCTATGGGCTCCAGTAACCACTTAACACCAGGTGAGCTGTGAGCTCGTCCATTCATCCAAGCAATAAAAAAAAAGTGCGAGGCGGCGGGAGTCTTTATGATCTCTGTGGAATTTTTAACACCCGATGGGCTATTTGAATGACCACGAGAAATACTTTTCTAGAATCATCAAAATAAAATACCTATCGTATTCACGATCTAGGACAGCGTCACATTGATGAGACTTAGCATAATAATAGCTACAATAAGTTAGGGGATTTCCTTCTATCTGTTTTATACAGCCATTACATTAACGATTAATGAAATATATTGGAGCTATCCTCAACGATAGCGTTTTGTTGGTAAATGATATTCCTTAATTAACTAGTAAAAACCGGTTACGTTGCGATGGTGTAATTTTAATGGACTATAACAGAAAATCTTCCCTGAAATGCCTAATTTTCATTACAATCGGAAGAATGACGTAGGAGCGCGTAGAGTACAAGCATACATACATATACTGGATTTTATATGTACATACATATACTGGATTTTATATGTACATACCTATACAAGTCTAACTATTACTTACTTATGCGGCTTCGTCCGCGTGTTCACGAAAAAGTGTTAGTGTAGTTTCCCGCGATACTGAGATGTTTTGTCGGGATAAAAGGTAGTCTATATCACTCTTCTGACCTAAAACTGTCACTTTAAAAAGATCATGTCAATCCGAATCCTGCTGTATTTCGACGTGAAAAAAGGAAAAATATACACAAATTTAAAATGTTAATTTAAAGCCGTCGCTGCCTAAAGGATAAGACGCTCAATGCATTCGTAATTCGTATTGGGGGTTGGAGACTGTGCCGGTTTTCGAATTCGCAGGCTACCTGTCTTTTCTATTTCTAGTTAAATATATAAATAATTATTATATATACGGTGGCCGGCAAGAAGTGGATGAGGAGAGCCGCAGACCGGGCTCAGTGGTGTGGATTGGGAGAGGCCTATGTCCAGCAGTGGACGACTGTGGGCTGTTGATGATGATGATGATGATGATAAGATTTTTAGCACATGCTTACATACTTAACACATGCTTACGAATGACTTGTGCAGTGAAGGAACTCGTGTAATTAAAATCACATTATCAAAATTTTTAAGTTATGTAATTACTGGCAGTAAGCCGTTTTGTGAGCTCGCACGAATAGGTATTATCACCCTTCCTA